TGTGATGTTTAATTTTTCTTGTTATGATTAGTAACTCAATTATTTACAATATGCAAGCCTATATTGCTATTATATTATCTGTCAAATTAATCTTTACGAAATTTTTTGTAAACTTTTAATTTTTTTGTAATTATTTTTAATTTAAATTTTGTTATTCTTTTATTATTGCAAAACACTTACTTTTTTATTTACTACATAAAATATTTAACTTGTAAACATGCTAAAATGTCTTTTTACAGCGGTACTCGACGACAAGACCATATGGTCTTCTACGAGTTTCTGCATTCTTTATATATATATATATATATATATATATATATATATATATATATATATATATATATATATATATATATATATATATATATATATATATATATATATATATATATACATATATATATATATATATATATATATATATATATATATATATATATATATATATATATATATATATATATATATATATATATATATATATATATATATATATATATATATATATATATATATAGTAAATATTTTTACTTGTAATTGTTTATATTTTTTAATTTTAGCTTGTAAATTTTATGAAATATTAATGTGATGTTTTAAAATGTAATAAAGAACAATAACAACAATAACTAAAAAATTAAAATGTCATAAACAATTTCCTGGTTTTTAATGCGACCACAGCTACTTAATAAATGTTTTCATTATTCAACAGTTAAGTATTATTTATTACATTTTATACACTATTCAACAACTTATATTGCGGAAATTGCATTCTAAAATGCAGGAGGGAATACTAAAATAAAGGAAGGAAATTTAATGCTCATTTTTAAATTTTAAGTGAACACAATATTTTTATATCTTCTGTATTTGGAAGAAACAGAATGCCACTGCATTGTTCCTTAATTTTTTTTTACTGTATTTTTTAACCTACTATATTTTGTTTTTCTGTTATTTATTTTTTTACTTTTTTTTTTGTATTTGGGGTGGTTATCAATTGTTAGGAGAGGTTGATATTTGAAGGGGGGGGGGAGGGAAGTTGTAGATTTGTTGTAAAAATTAGAGATTGAATTCATTCCTATAATATGGCAAGGGAAAGGGCTGTACTGTACAACAAAGGCGTAAGAGAGGGGGGGGGTGCAAATGAATAAATCTTTTTTACCATAAATATCTCACCAAATTGGGGATTTTTTTTTTTATTTAAAAACCAAATTCAGTTTTAACCGACCGAGTCTCAAATTTTCTAAATTACCGACAAAACCGACAGAATGTTGTAAACCTGGGAAGGTGCCCACACCCCAGTCGGTACGGCCTTGGCAGAGGAGATTATTTTTGATGTGCGATTATTACTGCGTACTACCTATAGCATGCAGCACATAAAAAATATAAGTTAAACGTTCAATAAGCGTACCAAATTTGATTTAATTGACTAAAGGGCTTTACTTGTACATTCCATGCTGATTGGGTGTTTATAAACAGTTGCAACAACATCATAGGCAGTTGTCTCCGAGCTGAAAAAAATAAAAATAATTGAACTTTGCTTAAAAAATTTCTTTTTGAATAACAGTTTAGTTCGACTAAGCTCTAGGATTCACAATTAGTAAAGTGTTGAATTACGAGAAAATAATATTTATCGCCTTAATAAAGCTTCCTCGGGTGTAAAATTTTTATGCGAAAGATTATTTCTTTTTTCAAGCACTAAGTCTTGCTTTAGTCGACTAAATTTAGTTACACTAAATATTTAGTCGACTAATTTGAGTTAACTATAAAGTTAGTCGACTAATTTTAGTTAGCTAAAAAGTTAGTCGGGTAATTTTAGTTAACTAAAAAGTTAGTCGGGTAATTTTAGTTAACTAGAAAGTTAGTCGCGTAAATTTAGTTAACTAAAAAGTTAGTCGGGTAATTTTAGTTAACTAAAAAGTTAGTCGACTAATTTTAGTTAACTAAAAAGTTTAGTTAACTAATTTTAGTTAACTAAAAAGTTAGTCGACTAATTTAAGTCAACTAAAAAGTTAGTCAACTAATTTTAGTTCGGCTAAAAATTTAGTTAAGTATTTTTAGTTAGACTAAAACTAACCTTAACTCCCACCCCTAGTTATTTTATTTTCTAAAATCTTCACATTGAAAAGTATTTTATGTTTTTTTGAAGCTATCAGAGCCGTGGCTGCATGGGCCACGATGATGGTGGACCTAGGGACCCCTATAGCATCAAATCGGGTTATATAATATCTCCGATGATTCTTGAGTCTATTCTTTACATTTTAATGCAAGTTATTTCAACAAATCTAACGAACAATTAATTAAACCAAGCATTAGGAATAGATATAAAAAATAAGAATATACTAATAAAATATATTATTTGTAATTAACTTTCAAAATTTTGACAATTTAAAAAATATATTATAAAACATTTATTTTTGTAAACAAATGATAATAGTTTAAAAGATTTATGGCTTTGCAGATGTAGGCTCCAAAAATGAGCCATAATATTAAAGTAATAGTTCATTTGTTAATATATTCTTAAAACAATTTATGCTAGATATCTCAAAACGCAACAAGTTGTGAATAATATAATTACTAAAACATTTCAACAGAATACTCTAGAACTTTATTTTGCTTAGTAAGCGTATTGAAAAACCTTTTCAATCTTTGTTTCAACATTTTTATATATTTTTCATTTGTTTAATATGTTCAAAAGTTAAATATTTCTCATAAAAAATACATAGTTATATAAATAAAATAAAAAAACATTTTATAAATAGTTTTTTTTTAATTAATTAGAAGTGTTTTTTTTTATACTTCATTAAAAGCGTTTCAATAATATAAAAGCATTTAAGATCAAACTTATTAAATTGTAACGGTTTTCTAAAACTTTTTTTTGACGAAATTTTGTTTATCTTTTTAAATGCATAAACTTTAATCATTCTTATATTTAAATTCGTTAAAGAGACTTACGTAGTCGTAGAATGTCATCGTTTATAAAAACAAAACATTTTTTTATTTTTTAAAAAAATTTATTTTAGAAATGAACACTTAAACAATTTATATATTTTTTAATCTAAAAAAATATATACAACTTCAATTATATTTAAAAAACAAAACTTTTTTCCAGTAAATTGTCACTTTATTTAAAATCGTTTCGCTAATATAAAAACATTTGTTAAGAAGTTTTGATATAATTCATTTCACTTTTTTAGAATATTTTTTATTTAGCGCCTTTCTAATATGTTTTTTGAATTAGCCGCGGTCAAACCGTCATAGCAAAATGTAACTTTCGTGGTCATATAAAGATGTGAAATCGCACATACATATATATATATATATATATATATATATATATATATATATATATATATATATATATATATATATATATATATATATATATATATATATATATATATATATATATATATATATATTGGATGTTATAATAATGGAAATATAAATAATGAAATAAGACCACCTCAATACCAAAAAATACAGAGAAAAATCAATCAGAGAAAAAATGTGTTAATAATTTTTTTTTAATACTTACAAACTAAATTAATAAAAGTGCATTATTATTTAGGTTAAAAATTATTTTATCTAATATTTTAAAAGAAAAACTTATAACAAAAGAAATCAAAATACATGTAGTCTTGACGATTATTTAAAAAAAGTTGCGCAAATAAAATACTATTTTGTTTTTAATTTTTTTACATACACATTTTAGAACTTTAAAATATAATAAAAATGAATATAATTTGGAAATTGCATGTAAAAAATAATAATCGGTGTTTTAAACAAAAAAACAAAAAAATCTATGACGTCATGTACTAAAACTTCTATGAATTAGACGCACTTGAATAAATTATCAAGTTTGTATAATGCGCCTGGAAAATCGAGTTTATTTTAAAGACTCCAAATACCACAGAAAATAAAGAAGACAAGCTTCGACTAAAACAACAAGATTTGTTTTTCTTGGTATACATTTATTAATTAGTTTTAATCAAAAAAAATTTCCTCAGGCGTTTTTTTTTTAACATTCTCTTTAATACGAACACAACATGTCTCGAGACTTGGTGGTCCCTTCAAGTCCTGAAAATCAAAAAAAAAACAAAAAAATATGTAAGTTAACATTTCCTTAACAATCCAAACGTTTAGAAATACTGAGAGTTTAAGAACAATGAAAAAAAAAAGCAATGTTTTACAGCCATAACATTTTCAGCAAAATTATATATATATATATATAGGAATATTTATGTAAAATTTTGATTATGCTTTGTGCTGCACTCCTTTGGCAAAAATCCACACAGGTTGCAAGAGTGCTTCAAAAAAAAAAAATTTTTTTTAATTTTTTTTTTCACCTTTAGTTGTATTATATAAAACTAAAGGTGAGCTTTTGCTCACCTTTAGTTGTATATAATAAAATAACACAAGATTTGAATGTCAAAATACTTAAGTAAAACACGGTGTCAAATGTTGAGAAAAGAATTATTTTTATATTTTCAAAACTGGGATCTAAGTAAATATTCGATAACATTATTACACAATAACATGTTGAGTTATTAAATTAAACTAGTTTTGCAGTACTTCCCAAGGTGCATTGAAAAAAAAGTTGGATTCTTTAAAGGTAATAGCAATAAAAAGTTGTCTTTTGCTTAAAACTTATCAAATTTCGAAAAAAAAAAAAAATTAAAATATTGTAGTATTCAGGTCCCCAAAGGGGAGGAAAGGGGGCCAAAAAGATCTTAGTTTTTTTCCTAATTAACTATCAATCTTCAAAGAGTAACTGAAGATTTTGCTTTACAGATGGTAAAGCAAAATCTTCAGTTCCTTATATTAAATAGTTTTAATATAGGTAACTAAAAATAAACTTATATTTTAAATAGTTTTTTGTTGTGAAATTGTGTGACCAATAAAATTCAAATCCTTCTTTTCCCCCATAAAATGTTTTCCTTTCAGATGCTTTATCTAAAATAATGGCTTTAAATGAATAATGTTTGTAAAACCTTTTAATTTAGAATGTCACCACGTACAGAAGTACTCTTTTATATGTAAGTTTATACATTTTAAAATATTTAATAATATTTTAAAAGTATTAAAAGTTATAGGAGTGACTATGATACTTATAAATTACTGCATATATGTATATAATATATTACATATATAATTTGTTGCATATATGTATATAATATATTGCATATATAATTTGTTGCAATAATAATTATTGTTGTATATAATAGTGGTTAAAGTGAAAATCTCTAATTCTAATAAAAACGTTAATTCTCAAAAAACGTTAATATTTAAATTTCCTAATATTTTTAATAGTTATTTTATAAAATATTCTTGGTCACCTAAGAAATTTTACTAAGTCTATGCAAATGACTTCATAACTCCAAAGTAACGTTTTGTTCATTGTTTGAAATCTTAGTTCAGGAAAAAAACTGCTATTAAATTCCCTTTTTTCTAAAAACCTGAATTACCATTTTATTTTTCATTGATAATTTTAAACTAGTAATAAATAAAAACAGACATTTTTTTCAATAAACAATTTTTATGCAATGTTACATATAAATTTTATTCTTTTTTTGGGCTGTTAATTATAAAGTCTAATATGGAATTAAGTATTAATATAAAAAAAAGTTGGCGTATTTTTAATGTAAAACTTTTAAGTTATTTTTTTATATATTTTTTTATATTTTGGTTATATTGCTATTATTATACTAGTGTCATCATTGTGGTAATTGTTGTAAAGTTATTATTTTGGACAGTATATCTATATATTAGAAAAAGAAGAAGATCAAAACAATTAAGGGAGGCACGTGTAAGCTTTTTTTTTACAATTTACATCGAAACATCGCATCCTTAGATTTGTAATATATATATATATACATATATATATATATATATATATATATATATATATATATATATATATATATATATATATATATATATATATATACATATATATATATATATATATATATATATATATATATATATATATATATATATATATATATATATATATATATATATATATATATATATATATATATGTATATGTAAGAAAATTATAATATATTTATATATGTATGTATATATATATTATATCTGTTTATTATATATGTATATATCAACCCTCGGAATTAGGAAAAATGATACTGACCTAAATCTTTTAGATGTTGGCATCATGTCTGCAAAAAAAATTTGATACAAAGGTTTTACCATAAAACATAAAAGGAAGGTCTGAAAATTTTTGCTGACCTCAAACACTTTTGGTCGGCAGTTAGATTGCCGACCCTAATTCCGTGAGTTAATATATATAAACATTATATTTATAAATAGCTGATTTATATTTATATATATGCGTTGCTTTCAAAAAAAAATAGACACAGTAAAATTTTTGTTACTTAAATCATATTTAAACTACCATAAAATAAAAACTAAACAAGATATTAAACAAATTTTATTTTATTTTATTGCATATTGGATGGCATACTAAAACATAAAATTGTATAGAAAGAGATTATCAAACATAATAACAAAAAATATCAATAAAAAACTAATATATTCTAAGCTAATATTTAAAGTATCCCCCACAAGCTTTTTTGCAAGCAGCACTCTTCTTAAAATGTTATCTAATTCTTGCTTTAGGCTATTTATAGATCGTATTTGCACCTTGACTAATTCTTTGTCCATCCAACCAAAATAGATTCGATTGGGTTAAAATCTGGTGATCAAACTGGCCTGGGCATTAAATTTACTTTCATCCATGCTCTTACTGTAAATTAATTAAATTTACTTTATTTTTTTTCATCCATGCTTTTACGGCATGCGCCAAATTTTGTTGAAATGGCATTTGTTTCTATCAATCAGCATGTCCATTGATGGAACCATGCAGTTCTCTAGTGTCTCTATATATGAATGCTGGTTGATATGACTATAAATAGTAATAGATATAAGTATAAATGTTACACACTCCCTTAAATATAAAGCAGCCCCAAATACCAATAATGTCCCCGCCACTTTGCAACTTTGGTACAACAAAGCGATTGCTATACTTATCCGATTTAAATCTTTTAACAAGAACTTTGTTTTTTCTATTTATTACTTCAAAGTTACTTTCATCAGTAAAAATTACTTGCTTCCACTTCTCCAAAGACCACCCGACTCTCTCCTTACACCACCTAAATCTTGTCGATTTCTGGATGTCAATATGTTTTCTAACAGCTGCATAGACACCAATTTTTTTCCTTAATAAAATGTTTCCAACTGTATTTGACAAAATATGTTTTTCACGGTTTTATATTTTTTTCACGACACGCATACACAATATTTATCTAAATAAAGTTAGTTATTTTAATAAACTTTTTTAATATATATTTTAGGCTGTGGACATTTGTTATGAAGAGCTTCCTGCAGTACCGCAACCTGCCTACGTTTTTAGCGGCTTATCTCCTGAAGATATAAGACAAGTAATTCTTATCGAATCCTTACCAGGATATCAACATAATGATCCTTATAAAGTTAACGCCCCTCCTCCAAAATACGGCGAATCGTTTTGCTCAAACGCACTTGACTTTGAAATAAGCGAACCCTCAACGCGAAGGTTAACAGTAGATGCGTTTATACAAAATGTGGAAACCAGTGAAATATCTCATTTATTAGAAAATGAAGAAGATGATTATGTATGCATGCCACATACCACGTAAAACACATCGCGGTGAACCGCACATTGTTTGAAACTTTTGCAATCAATTCAATTTATAGCACATAAATTTAGTTGATCGTTTCCAAATTTGATACTTATCGACATTTCAAATAATATTTTTGTCACTTATGCGTCAAAAGCAATTCAAATCCTGCGTAATATAATTACGTAGTTTTTCTAGTTTATATTTGAAAAGAGGTTTTATTTTGTGAACATATAAATTTATTAGACGATTTAAATGCTTTTCATAAATCCATCTTGTAATAATTGATACTAATTGATAATTCTCATTTATTGTGTTTTCAAGTGATAAAAAATATAATATATTGGCGTGCAGGTTGCAGATGTAAATTTTTTAAAAAAATCAAATTTTCAAAATTTATAGCAGTTATAAAAAATTGTCAATCAATTTATTTTTTGACTTGACATTTTTGTGTGTATACATTTGTAAATATGTTTTTTTATTTGAAATAATCTTTTTCGGTAATTTTTTATCTTTAGTAATATTTTTTTTAATAAGTGTTTTTTTTAATAAGAGGTGTAATTTGTTTTGTAATTTCTCCTTATTTTAATTTTAGAATGCCATATTTAGAAGTTACTTTTTAAAGCTACCTAAAAGAATTTTAAATCGGTAACTAAATAATGACCAAATAGGTACTTGGTTGTATTAATCTGTGTTCCATGGAATATACACCTAAACGTATTTAACTAATTTAATTAATGTAGTATAATTATAGAGTTAGCAACCATAAAATATTTGACTGAGCAACCTTGCCAAAAAGTACTGTATTATAATATAGTAGACCATGAGTGTTCAACCAATGCAACTTCTTTACCTTTAAACAATGTTATTTGGTCTTCTAATACTGAGATATTTTATTCTGCAATTGAGTGGACTTTTAGTGTTAAAATTGTATTTACGACTGCTGTTGTGTTTACCTTAATAAAACAAACTTAATGGAATCTTAATATTTCGGTATAAATACAATGCAAACACTTAATTTAAGCTATATTTCAAAGTGACGTATACTTGTTGAAGTTAATGTAAAGCAACCACCTTTTTTTATTAGACTATCAGTACAAAATGTCTTCTTTTAGTTTAACGTAAGACTTGCTGACAATGTATGCATGTAAGGGACAGTGGGGCACCATCAAACAAAGCAATTATACAGCGATATAAAAGTATTGTGACAAATTCTTTTGAGTTGTAATCAGTTACTACTAGATGTATTGTTTAACATAATTCAAATCAGAACATGTCAATAATATCGCGAGAGGTCCAAATTTGTGTTTTTCCAAGGCAAAGTAATTTAGCATATTTTATTCTGTAATTGAGTGGAATTATGGCTTCACCTAACTTGGTAAAAAATAGGTGGACGATTAAATAAAGTTTATGTAGTAAAAATAAATGTTATGTTATTCAGTATTTATGCATGTAATATGGTGATCTAGGGTTAGGACTATTGTTATTGTAAAAATTAAATACAATACAAAAATATTTTATTGCAATACCAGAGATGCATTTAAAATATTATTTATGGTTATTGTATTGCTGTGAATAAAAACAGTTACACTAACTATTGTAATGTTTTTTTTTTTCTAACAATACATTAAAGCTCTAAAACTATTGTATTGTATTGCTGTGATGTAAAACAATTACAATAACTATTGTATTGAATTGCTGGGATCAAAAAAATTACAATAAGTACATTGATGTATTGTATTACTATTTCAAAGTCTAATAGCTATTGTATTTTATAGTATTTAGACTCTTTTCACGCATTTATTATTATTTGGGCACTAGATAATTTAGGGGTGCCCGTGACGCTCGTTTTCAGCAGTCATTTCCCAGCCGGCAAATAACGTTGAAATATCGTTGAATCCTAACGTTGAATTAACGTTGGTTTAACGTTTAGAATGAAAGTTTTATTCAACGTTGATTTATCAACGTTAAATCAACGTTAGGTTCAAACGTTATATCAACGTTGATTCGACGCGAAAAAACGTTACAATAACGTTGAATTTACGTTGATTTAACGTTTAGAATGAAAGTTTTTTTCAACGTTGATTTATCAACGTTAAATCAACGTTAGATTCAAACGTTATATCAACGTTAATTCGACGCGAAAAAACGTTACAACAACGTTGAATTTACGTTGATACAACGTTTAAAATCATAGTTTTTTTAACGTTGATTTATCAACGTTAAACGACTGTAAAATACTTTTTCATCATCAAAACGTGCTATGTATGTCAAAATGTATATATGTATGTAAACGTGCTATGTGCGTCAAAATATGATCACCATCAAAACGTACTATGCATGTACATTAGTGTTGCTGTACATTATCAAGGTATATTATGGATATTAAATCTATTCATAGTCTATACTTAGACTATTTAGGACTTTTTCAGTTTAGTTTAGTTAAAATAGCTAGGTATTAGAGATAAAACTTGTTTGATTCAAAAATACATATTCAAATATTACATATATTTACATGTAATTGAATAAAATCTACACAAATTTCTTCTCTTTTCCACCACCTTTTTGAAATAAAGCGTAATTTAGAAAGTCAAACAATGTTCCATTAACCGAGGGTTCTTTTGGTCCATTGAGTACAATATAAGAAGCTGTAAATAAAAAAATATATTAAAAAAAAACAAAAAAGGAAGATTTAAAAAATAAATAATGAATGGAAAAGTGTTACAACTTATGAAGGTATATCTTTTTCAACGTCATATAGATTAGCGTTCTTAAAACATATTTTTCCACCTTTGCCCTTCATATCCATGGAGGCCATAAAACTTTTCGAAAATACTCTGCGTTTTTAAAAAATAATATAACTGTTAGTTGGTTATTAATAACTTTTTCAAATATTTAATTTAAATAAAACAACCTTTTTAATATATTAAAAATAAATTAATAATCAAAATATAAAACATTTCTAGCATTGAAAAATAATTTTCGGGGTGGCCACATAAAATTTTTATAAGAAATTTTATGTGACTTTATTAATGGTTTAACGTCCATGTTTATACACTTAAGGGGCTTGGACAGGGATCAAATAATGTCATTTGTTATGTTAAATAGCATGCATTTTCTAAAGCAATTTTTTACAATTCCATGCACTTCAAGGCGTTAACCAGTTTTGCAGACTGAGAATGGGTATTTTGAACATTATACATCCATCAAAAATTAAAAAAGGAAGAATTAATGAGGAGCATTGATCAAATTTTTACCTCTTTAGAGGATAATAGAGGATTTTAGAAGTGGTTTTAAAAAAAGAGGACTTTAGAGGATTTTAGAGGAGCTGCAGACACCCTGATTATAAATGAGGTAACTCCACCAATTAACTGTAATTGATTTATCTGTAAAAAAACATGAAGTAAATCTAATATTATGCTTGTGGAGATATATTATATTGTGGAGAACCATCCAAATCACACAAGTGGAAAATTTGCATCCAAGTTTCCACTTGTGTGCAAATCTTGCATCCACTTGTCAACATTTTCATTATAACATTTTTCTTTTGTAGTTGTGAATTTAAAATTTTCACAATACTGTTTGCTTTCTTTTAGAATTGAAATATTTATACAAATAGTTATATATTTTGTATCAACAAAATAACTCTTCTTACCACATAATTTAAAAAATAATAATTGTAATATATAGATGTAATACCTGAAGAGAATTTAGTTTTTATTTGTATAAACTTAAGCCAATTCTTCTCTGCATTTTAGTGCAGTCAATACTTTGGTACCTGGAAGCAGACAAACAGTTTTATCACTAATCCAATCAGATGGAATTACTTCTTCTTGTAAATCTTCATTCCAAACAGCTCCTTTCCGCATATTCGATTTTGAAAAAATTACATGAACTAATATAAAATGAAGAAGCCATAATATAAGTGTACTAACAGGCCTAATTAAACTAGCTAAATTTGAACATTTTATAACCATGATACTTGCTAAACAATAATATTAGTAGACATTATAAGCAAAGATAAGATTTTCTTTATTTTATAAATTTATTATATTTTAAACTCATTTTTATTAATTTATTTATTACTCTATTATTCAGCAGAGTTCTGAATATATTATGTTCAAATAACTTAAGGCTCAATAACAAAGACAAATAATGAAAGAATACTAGGTTGCTAAAACATAAACATCTACATAAGATAATTATGGAATATTGAAAAAAAATAGAAATACAAAAAAACAAAAATACTCATTATTAATATAAAATATAATAGTATAATATAAGGTATATTATAATATATGACACAATAATATCTTCTTTTAATTAAAATATAAAAACAACAAAAATTAAAAAAGAAAATATTTTGATAAATAATAAATTATCATTCAAACAATTTTCAAGACCAAAAAATAACTTGTAACTTATTTTTTTACTTATCTTCATCTAATAAACATTACTTATTTTTTACTCATCTTCATCTATTAAACATTAATATTAATACCAATTTTAAACATTATTAGAATTTTTTTTTTATCAAAAAATAAAAATATTACATCAGTTACTTTTTGGGCTTTTCTTATTTTACTTAAAACATCAACTTTTCTTATTTTACTTAAAACATCAACATCAAGGCGGTAGTGGTGTAGTGGTAGAGCGCTCGCTTCATAAACGAGTGGTTCCGAGTTCGATCCCCACCACGTCCCTGGTAGTACCACGCTCAACTCGTTTCTCCGCGCAGCGGCCTTGTTCGTCAAGGTTCGTGTTTCGGAGTTATAGAGTTGAGAGAGGGTTATAGCCACAAAATAAGTAGCCTCCTCGTTTGTAGTGACCTTCTCGGCGAGGAGGTGAAGTAAAAAAAAAAAAAAAAAAAAAAAAAAAAAAGCTTTTTTCATTATTGAGTTTTAATTTGTAATGTTGAATTAACACTGAAAAAAAAAATATTAGCAGACAAAAAGAAAATATTTCTTTATTGAAATATATGTAAATATTTCAATAAAGAAATTTTAGATCAATTTTTATAAATATAAATTTATATCAATCAATCTAAATTTTTTTCTTTTCCGCCACCTTTTCGAAATGAAGAGCATTTTTAGAAGTTAAACAAAATGCCATCAATTAAAGTTTCAGTCGCTCCATCGTATTTAATAGAAGAAGCTGTTAATAAAAAAGAATTAGAAAAAAAAAAAAAAAAAAAAAAAAACACAAGGAGAAATTTTTGAATATATAAAAAATGAGAATAAAAAAGTTTTACATATCTTATAAAGGTATACCTTTCACTACACCGTATTAAATTAGTGCTCTTAAAGCATATTTCCACCTTTCCCCTTTATATTCATGGAGGTCACAAAATTGTTGGAAAATATTCTAAATTTTAATAGATAAGAGAACTGATATTAATTATGCAAGAACTAATATTAATTTTTTTTTTTAATTTAAATTGAACTCATTATCAAACAATTTTTTTGCTAAATAATTTAATCCTTAAAATTCCTGAATAATTCAAAATTATTTTAATTACCTCAGCATTTTAAAGATATTCCATCAATTGCAATTGATTCACCTAAAAAACAACAAGTAAAGCAAATATTATTGTTTGAAATTTTAATTATCTTTATACAAATACTCATCATATTTTTAAAGTGACTGATAAAAATGGATTCAATTAAAATCACTTCATTTGTATTAAAAAATTAATATTAAAGCTTTAATCATACATTATACAAGAGTATTTTGTAATACAATATAAATAATTGTTGGGATATGTAATTTTTTTATCCGAAATTTAGCTTCTGTAAGCTTTAGAAATTTTTTAAAGAAATTATTGATGAGTTTGGAGCTACGGGTACTAATGTTTTTATATTGCTGTAATGTTTGTATTCATTCCCTGTTAGTTTCTGTAAGTCAAAATTTTAAGGTGATTCCATAATAAATTTTGTTATATCTAAAATTTAGTGTTAGTCTGAATAATTTACTTTCTAAAATCTGTTTTGCATTGCCTGTCTTATAACATCTTTACTTGGAACAAAAACCATGTGGTTTAAAAGTGAGCTAGAAGCTTTCAACAATGAAGAAAATATTGCATTCGCTAATCCTAAAAATATATTAAACCTGTCAGCAAAATCAGCTGTCAATAATCCAAGTATTAGCATCATTAAAAATTCATCTTTGCTGCATTACATTTATTTTGGTCCGAGTAGTTAAGGATTTTTTAAAATTTTAAAAAACAGAAGTAAATATATTTTTTTTAATATCACTTTATCTCTTTTGATTAATGGTGATACTGCACTAACTGATGAAACACATTGACAGATGTAAGGCCAGTATAAAAGTCGCAAGATCTATTATTTTTAAAATAAATGTTTGTATACAAGTAAATTGCAATAACACGATTTGTTTGGATTATGTTTATATACAAGTTTGTCTGTTTTCATAGTAATAACTGATGTGGTTGAAGTTAATTTTTCAAATAAATCTTTATTTTTTTATTTCGTGCTGAAGTTCTTTTTTAAAGTTATCAATTTCCTTTTTTAATTCTTGATGCTCTATTAAAAAACAACGCTTAGCATTAAATTCAACATAATTTAATGGATCATTTTTTGAAAAAGCTGTATTATATTTACATTTAATAATATCAGTCTTTGAGCATTGTAGCCCAAGTTAAACAAAAAATATCGATTTTTAAACGATAATGTTCTTTCAGGAAAATCGTCTGAACATGTTTTCGATCTCTTGAAAATTCTATATGATATAAGTACAGTATTTACATTTTTTTTCCATTATAAATCTCTATAACTTTAATCGTTGGAATAATGTTTACGATTTTACTTCCATTTCTGCGCGCGCATAAATTTTATATCGTATTTTTTGTCAACAATGATTGAAATAATGACGTTAAAATAACGTTAAATAATCAACGTTTAAACTGTAACGTTGATTTAACGTTGAAATAACGTTAAATAATCAACGTTTAAACGGTAACGTTGATTTAACGTTGTGACATAGTTGAACAACGTTGACACAACGCTTCAACCGAATTTCAACGTTGAAACAACGCAATAATGCCGGCTGGGTTATATATATAAATTTTATTTATTTTCAGAAGTGAAGTGAAGCCAGGGAAGCTAAAGAAGTATATATACTACGTATACTTAATAAATATTTGGTTCAGGGGCGCACATGGCACCCATTTCTAGTAACCATTTACATATATAAATTTTATTTATTTTGAGTTCAATAATATAACTGTTTAAATAATAATTTATTCAGAATTAACATTAATAATATTCATTCAAAATCATACAAATATATAATTTATCATATGCTTGTAATTAAATAATTATTTACTTTAAGAAGTTAAATTTTATATTTTTTTATAACTTTGTCTGCCATGTTTCACAAGATGATGACGTCTAAACTAATTGATTAACTACATTAAGCGCTTTTTTTTCAAAATATCTAACCGCTAATGTGTAATCAATTACATCGTTTTGGAATCAAAGAACCTTTGACCTAGGTAATTATCGATTAGATTGTCTAAAAATGTGAACTACTTTTGTTTTGTTAAATTTTTTTTTACATTTTCAGATTGTTCATCACCTATCAGACCGTACCAGTAAATTTTGTGTGGATCATTTTTGAAAAATGAGGCAGTTTAGAACACCCAATAAATATTATTCTTGATTTATGTAACAAAACTCTTTTATAACTTTGCAACTAGATGTCCAGTTACTTCATGAAACACATATAGCCATAAAGCGGAAGGGAAACAAAAGACAAAGTTATATTAGAGTAAGTGTGAGTTAAGTTTCGAAACAATAGGATAGGTGCCTAATGTAAAAGCAAATAACTTAGTGGAAGAAATGGTAGTAGTTAATCATGTCTATCCCCAGCAGTAAAAGAAATACAGGTCCGATTAAACTCACTTTTATAGAGCTATACAAAGTTTATAAAATAAAAAAGAAACAGAATCAAACTTATATATTAGTTGTACCCTATTTCAAGGTCACTTATCTCAGAGACTGGACTGTTAAAACATTTATTAAATTTTGACTCTAAAATAATTTTTTTTATTACAATAACAATATATTGTTATTGTATTATAAAGACGAATTACAATACAATATTTATTGTTATTGTAGTGGGTCATTACAATACATTTTTTTTTCAGATATTGTTATTGTTTTATTAAGATGAATTGCAATACAATATTTATTGTTATTGTATGACAGAATTACAATATTTGTAAATCGCAAGTATTGTTATTGTTTCTAAATCAAGTTAATACAATAACAATAGTTATTGTTACTGTTATTTTTTCATTACAATTACAATAGTCCTAACCCTATGGTGATGTGCTTATGCAGTTATAAAATTAATTTTGTCTTATAAACATAAGTTAGTTATATTAGTTTTTTTATTTATTTATTTCGTCGTTTAAAAAAGGATTTATAATGTTCAATAATGAAATAAAATAATTGGCTGGAGCAAGAAGAAGGCATAAGTTAGCCTTATCACCAAGCCCCATTAAAAGCGATTCAAAAAATCCGAAACATAAAAAAACAATAAAAAAAAAAACAAAAAAAAAAACAATTGAAAGTAGTTAAGAATTAAGAAAGTAATAAAACAACTATAACAGTTAAAAATAACTTAAAAGTTAAAAACGATAAAATATGAAAATGACAAATTTCCCGTTTGGGTTGTAAATCGTAATTTAAAATTAAAATAAACATTAAAAAAAAACAAGTTTGCTTTATTATACTTTATTAGCATTTATTGCTTTATTTATCTTAACCAAAGCACCCTTTGCATATAATTTATGCTTATGTATTCTGCACCAATAAGTGTTTGTTCTACTTGAAATGAAACTTGTATAGTTTGTAACTAAAAGCAAACTCTAAATGTGTGTTTTATGTATACAGATATGCTAAAAAAAAAGAGGAGAAATTATTACAATGAAATCCAATTTTTCTATAAGAAGAGTGTTTACTGAAGAGCAAGAAAATCTTTTAAAGCAGTATATTGTAACCTACTCTCGAATGTGTTATAGACAGTCTGTTTTTTAAGATCTATTGCTTTTGATATGGCTATAATAAATAATATAAAAGTTTCCATTAACTGGATTAAAAAGAAGAAAGCTGGAATAGAATGGATGCGCTTGTTTTTAAAGCGGAATTCTTTAAGCGTTCGAATGCCAGAAGGATGTTCTTTGTCAAGAATGACATCTTTTAATAATTACAATGTACAAAGGTTTTTTTACTAATTTAGTTGCATTGTATTTAAAAGAATCAATATTTGTTGACGGATTTCGCATTTGGAATCTTGATGAAACAGCTACCACCATTGTACAAAAATGTAATTAAGTCACTACTAAAAAAGGTATCAAGCAAGTTAACTCTGCGACAAGTGGAGAACGTCGAACTTTGGTGAAAAGTTGTTTTTTCGTAAGTACCTCAGGTGCTACCATACCACCTGCAATGATATTCCCTCAAAAAAAGTTTAAGCAACATATGCTTAATAATGCACCATCTGTATGAATACAGAGTTATTTGTAAAAAAAGTTCAACATTTTATATCAAAAACGTTCTCGTCAAAGGAAAATCCATCTCTACTTGTGTTTGATAATCATGAGAGCCACTTATCTATAAAAGCTCTTGATCTTGCAAAGAGTAATGGTGTTACTATTCTTACTATACCACCACATAGTAGTCACAAAATACAGCCCTTAGATGCCTCTGTATTTGCTCTATTCAATGTTTATTATAATGATGCAGTAAATTCTCGGCTTCTAAATCATCCTGGAGTGCGAATCACTATTTACGAAAACTGCATCTTGTGTTAAGTTAAGAGTAACAAATTATTGGTATTCAGAAACCCAATAATTTGTTACTCTCACCAGAAAAGCTTCAAGAGCCTTTTATCAGTGCTGGTTGTCTGAACCAAGTACAAGTCAAGCCAATGATTCTAAAGTTATTAAGCTCTTCTCAGTTTAAAAGATTTCCAAAAGCCACTAAAAAAAAAAAGAAAATAAAACCTCGCGAGAAAGCTAGCAGTATAATAGCAATCGATTCACCAACAAAAACTGTATTCGAAATAAAAAGAAAAATAAAGAAACAACTCTTATCATTAGAAAAAAAATTGTTTCATAAAAAAGTGATTTATTATCTGATGAACATTATTGCTATTCTTAATTTTAAAAATTTATAACTTGTCTTTAGAAAAGGTTGTTTCTTTATAAATTTTTTGTGTTGTTTTCCTAGATTTTAAAACTTTTTTATCATTCTGCTTCATGGTGCCCCATAGACTGTATCAAGGTACCCTAGGGTACCTAGGGTAGGGTATCTTGATACAAAATTCGAATTTTACTCAATAAGTTTTTACGAGTTTGACCTCTTTTATTTTGTTAATTTAGGAATTTAGTTTTGAAAGCATAATATTTATCTACAAATTGCACTAATCGTTCAAAAAAAAAAAAAAAAAAAAAAAAAAAAGCGTTTAAAAAAGTACGTACAAAACAAAAACCAATTGTATTGTGGCGCCCCACTCTCCCCTATTCCAAAATAAAATGCAATTCATTTTAAAAAACTTATAATTAACTTAAAGTTATATATAGACAGTGCTTCTTCAGAAATTTATAAAGATTTTTATGTTACTCCACCTACCCATGCCTCAGAAAGATAAAAAAACAATTTACCGATGTAATACTAACATATTAAAAAATTTTTAGGGTCAAGGATATCATTTTAGAGGTATACTAAGAATAAGACACCCATTACTATTTTTTGTGAAAATTTTAAAGCGAACTTTATATAAAACTAATATAATACTAAAATTATATAAAACTAAAAGTTTATATGCAACCCCTAAATAATATACACGTCGAGCATAAACTATACTTGTCAACAGAGTAATTTATTTTTTACGTAAGAAGTCGTACATAAATTACGACCGTTTTTGACCCCTCCCCCTCGTCACAACATCGTAACTCTTTAGTAACAAGTCCCGCTTGAGTCGTCACAAAAACACTAACCCCCCTTCCTTAAGCGTGACGTAATTTATGGATGACAACTAAGCAGTTCGTAAGATTTCGTTAAAGGACCAAAGCTATTAAACAAGATACAGTAACCTCAATTACGCATATGCAACAAATTGAATATTAAATGCAATAAGTTAAAAACAATGCTATTATGTTATTTTAAAAGCTGATTTTTAATTAAAATAAATATTTTAAATTTTCAATACAATTATATACAACCAAACGGGTATATACTTTTACTTTACACCCACAAAAACTCAAAAAAATTGGAAAAAGCCGCTTTAAAAAATTAAAAATTATCTTTAAACGTTAAATAAACTGTAATTTTGTATATGTTAACGCTAATGGTTTTGTTTCTTCTAATGATTAATATGGTATAGTTTTAAGGAAATTGCTACTGAAATAACCAGTTAATGAAACGACCAGCGTCTTAAAAACATTAAAATGTGTACTATAAAAAAATGAAGCTATATTTGTCGTTTTATAAATAATAGTAAATTTTTAGACTTCAATATTTTGTTATAGCTAACTAAGTTTTAAAAATAGTATTATTTGCACATAAACTTGGGACATTAATATTCTATTAAAACAACAGCATTTAACATGTAGCTTAAATTGAAATTAAAAAATCACGTATGGTTATTTCAGTTAAATTTAGATATAGTTAAATTTAATTTAATCTGTATATTAAATATTATAAGAGATTTTATTAAAATTTAAATGACTGAACTTTCCACAAATATCAAAAAAAATAAAATTGGTTATTTCAGTAAGCATCTCTTTTGTTTTTTGAATGCAGTTCTTTGAAAAATTTAAAACCTATTTATAAATAACTTGTCGCTTCATTTTTTTTTCGTACTTTTTTTGCTGTTTTTCATCCATCTCAGGTGGTGGAGCTGCAAAAAACCATGGTGACAAAACGTTTACCCATAGCATATAGAAAGCTCTACCTGGAACCTAATAAGATAATTAAGCAACATTTATAAACAAAACAGAAAACATGAATAATGTGTTGAAAATAAATATAAGCAACAATGTCTTTGAAAATACAATTTACTTGCAGCATATTACAAAATCGAAAATGTAATTACTGAAATAACAAAGAGAAGGCAAATACTGTCATTTATCAAAAATCATATTATTGGAATGGTATAGAGAATAGCAATGCATAATCAATGTAACTTTAGAGACTCCAATATTAAAGTAATATATAAATGTATATACAATTTATCCAGACAATTTCTTTTAAAACAAAGGTCCAAATGACAACTTGGGATCGTAAGCATGCGAGCCTAAACGAATGCATACAACAACTGATGTCGGAGTATCATCATGTTTGTTTTAAATGTGTTTTGGTACGTGGACAGGATAGTTTCCCACAATGCCACATTCTAATCTTACTAACATTATCTTTTGTCTGTCAGGGCATTATATAAATTGCCATCAACTATTTAAAAAAAATGAAATTATGAAATACTTCTACTTGGATTTTTTTTGAATAGGCAATTTATTAAAAGTTTTGATTCCGTGACAGTCCTTCAGTACTCAAAATTATTTGGGTGGCATAAATTAAAACAAAGTGTTGGATTTGCTTAAAACTTGATTTTCCTCAGATTATTTGCTCATAAAAATTTAAACTTTCCATTACAACAACTTTTCCTCTTTATTCTAAAATGTTGACAATTAAAAATGAATTTAACCAATACTTTTTTTATTCTGCTTTTCTTTGTAAATTAATTCAACAAGAATTTGTATTGTTGAATTAATTAACAAATACATTGAAAACCTAAAACATAAAGAAAAGCTTTTTAAATTAATAAAGACATTTTTTTTTTAAAAATAAAAAAAGCATGAAGATTCATATCTTATTTGTAAAATGACAAACTTTTTAAGTCGTGTCTTCAAAAAGATTTTATAAATTTTGCATAGAAACTTTAATATTTTAACATTTTTAAAATGGTCTTGCAGCTTAGAATCTTGTGTAAAAAGATTTTGATGGATATGCTGTTCTTGAGGATGTTTTCTACAAACATGTCAAGATCTTTATAAAACTTCCTTACTAAAATGCAAGCCTTACTACAGCCCTTATTACAACACCCATAGTGTTACATTTTGTTGTGTCAGCACAAATTTCAAATATTTTTATTAAGATTTGGGTAACCTATATTCAAACTATTCTTTTTTAAATGCCAAAAACGTTTTTCTTCCAGCTTAAATGCTATCGTTTTTTTCTGAACAATATGATATGACTCTCTTGTGAAAATGTAATAATTTAGAAATATATTTTCTAAAATTATTTAAATAACTTTAATTTGCCATTAAAGCTAATGAAAATAATTATGCAATAAACTATGCACCAATTATTCAAATAATTATCTAATACTTAATCAAATTTTAATCAAACTTAAAACTTCTGCAACAAATATGTGGAACACCACATCACATTTGAGCTGACATGTTTTTCCATTACATAGAGGCTCATAATTTATATCTAAAGGGCAAGAAACAGTTTTAGTGTGTTTTTATTATTTTTGTTGAAAGTTCATAGGGTAGGGTGGGGTAATCTAGGCCTTTTTTTAGCTACTTATGATTTTGAGCAAAAAAAATATATAGCAAAATTATATCTTAAAATCATGATTAGACGTCATTTTTAGTAAACCATGTCAAAAAAAGTTTGCACATAACTTTTAAAGTTGTCTAAAGAGTTATATTCTATAGACACACATAACCCACTTTAGTGGGGTAATATGGGTCTAAGTTAGATTTTTATATTTTTTCAATGAAATATACCAACTTTTAGTAAAATATGACTGAAGTCATATGACATCATTGAGTATGTGTTATATTTAAATTATTTGATCAAAAGTTTAAAGATAATACTTTAAAATTACTTTGTTTGAAACTCAAAAAACATTACTTGTTTAAAGAACTAAATTAGAAATACAAAATAAATATCTCTGTTATCTAATTTCCAAGGTATGCAGATCATTCTTGTGGTTCAATTTTCAGTTTTTTACAAATTTTTTTTATATACAGAATAAATCATTATAATTCTCCTAATTTAATATATGATATTCAAAGTTAAAAGTTGATGTACTTATAAAAGTCGAAGCATGATGAAATTATGTTTAATGAAGAATTTAAAGCGAAAGATTAATTAAAAATTATCCAAAATTTTTTGTGTTATGTATTAGAGATTCATTATCCTACAAAGATTTATATAATAAAAATTTAATGTACAATCCTTCAAAACTTCTACGCTGCGTTATCTACTAGTTTTAATTGAAAACATCAATACATCTTTAATAATCATCTAAAGGAATTCATAGCAACATGAAATCTATAGCAACATGACTCCAGAAAAATGAATCCAGAAACATAGTCAGATTTCTAATTTAAACTAATTTTCATTTTAAAGGTATTTATTGTTGTATAACCATTTGACATAAAGACCAACATTACCCCACACAAAAAATATTGCTTATTTCAAAAAAACTATGCATCACTTTATCTTAAAACTAATTGGACCTAACTATCTGGTAATGTTTCTTCCAGATAAAACATTTTTTATGAGTTAGACCCTGTTTTTTATACCTTTTTTTGAAGTTTAAGTTTTTCTATAAAAAATCTTCCTTTTGAAGTTTAAGGTTTTCTATAAAAAATCTTATATTTTTCATTCAAAATCTGCCATTTTGAATGAAAAATATAATTAAGAATATGTCTAGTAAGCCGATAATTTAAATTTAGAGAGCTGTTTTAACAACCTATAACATACATAAAAAAAAATAATTCTACGTGAAACCTTTCTTCTGAAAAACTGATAAATGTTGATTAGATCCACATTACCCCTTAGGTCAACATTACCCGCCCTACCCTAATCTGCAGATAAATATGTTTTAGAACCTTTTGTAGGCAACACTCTACCACCAACACGTTGTGCTAAGGAAAATATTTTAGTATTTGAATGCCATTTTTTATTTTTAAAATTTTAAACACACCGAGTTTCATAAAGTTTGCTTTTTTATCTAAATAGTGCTGAATGAAAAAATATGGTAACAATGTTATTGTTTTTCCAACACCTAAGAATCAACCTGTCTAATCCATACGAAAAAGAATAGGAAAAAGCAACATGGTTAGTTTCTTGTGTACATGACCTGATTTTTGATACCTAGTTTCTACTGACGTAATAGACACATTTTAACACACATAAACAAAAGAGCTAAGCAGAGGCAAAAAAAAAAAATTACAATCTGTAATCATCACTCATTTTATAAAAAAAAAAACCTGAAAAAAGTCTAGGTAAGCACACAAACAAAAAGTGAATTGTTTAAAAATGAAATATTTTAAATGCTCTTCAAAGATTTGATATATTACAAGCACTCAAATTTTACTTTTTTAAAGCTCTTTTTAATATAGATACAGAGCTAAAATTGAGGAGCCTCTGGAAAAACTTTTTTTTATTAAATGGTCAGTTTTGAAGCTGTTCTACCATTCACTTACATTTAATGCTACTTATACAATAAGTAAACAAAAATAATAATAATAAATTTTTATAAAAAATGTAAAAATTTAAATCCGATAGAAATATAATATATTCTATTAAAATAAAAAATTGTACTTACAACCAACCAGAGAAACCAGAAATAATTTGAAACTAAACTTAATAACTGAATGATAGCAGTAACTAGTATTAAATCTTTGGCATGCTCAGCCATTCCACCTTCCATAGCTAAATCCATTCCACCCAACACTATGCTACTTAGAAACTTGTAAGAACCAGCATAAACAAAGAGTGGCATGAAAAAACCAAGCTATAAAAATAAATGGTGAAAATATTTAAAGAAATAACGTAACAATAAGTTATTATTTCTTTATATATTTAATAAAATATAAATTTTTATACCTGTTCTTTCACTTTAACTTAAAAATAAAACTTAATTTAACAATAGAAAAATTACAATATCCATGAATTTACTGGTTATACCTCCATTTTTCTATTACATAATCTCCCCAAGGGTGTCTGAATATTCAAAAAGACTATTTCTCAATGTTAAAACTCTGGAATACAAACATTGACAAACAAGGCCACTGCACGGAAAAATTTGATTAATTTTCAAATCAAATACCACGAATAAAATATTTATTGAAAAAAATTAAATTCAATATCAATTTGAGATCTTTGAGATTCAACGCTATACTGAATTTATTTTAAGCTAATTATTTAGAGTTCAATCCCCATCACGTTTGTGTTTCGAAGTTATAGAGTTGAGAGAGGGTTATTACCGAAATAAAGTAGTCTCCTAGTCTGTAGTGGCCTTCTCAGGCTTGAGGAGGTGAATTAACAAAAAAAAAAAAAAAAAAAAAAAAATATAGCATAATATCTATGTTTATTTTTGTTTTTTATTTTACCAGTTTTTGCAAAACTAATTTTTTCTGGTAGTTTATTCAATTATTTTGCAACTCTGTCAAAAAAAATTTTCTATTGATTTTTTTTTCTTTTTATAAGTTCAATATTAAAATGGGTTTTATGACCCCATTAGAAACATATGCAGCGGAAACATATGCAGGATGTCCTTTACTACTGAAACCAAGTGATGCAAAATGAGATAAACCAAAAACATTGTAACTATTATCTACAAATAATAGATTAAGTATATTTGTTAACTTGTTTTTATTGATTTAAAATGTAGCTTCAGTAACACAATGCTCAAAAAAACAGTCATTTAAACATACTACAATGTCCTTCAGCTTGTTGGTTATAAGATTCTACAACACTGACTTTCCATTTTAAGATTTAAATTATAGTTAAAGTAAACACCCTCTCCCCCTCTTCTTGTTCAATCTGTTGATTCTATTGAATTACCTATTGATTACCTTGAATTCAAACAAGAATACAGCAATCTACCATAACAATGCTTTTATAAAATATTCTTTTATGATAATAAAGTGCTCATACATTTTGTATGAGCAATGCAACTAAAAAAAATTTTTCTATATAGACTTTTACCCATTTAAAGTTAATTATTAAACATTTCAAAATACTCTTGGTCACACCCAGCTTGTTTATCATGTAACTTGAGTTTTAACAATTAATTTTGTGAGAAAATGATTTAATTTTTTTTTTTTTTTTACATTTCAAATGCATAAGAAAATACTTTTAGCTTTCTAAAAAAGTTCAAAGCATTTATATTATAATTATATTTTACTGTTTATTCATTTTATTCATAACTTTTAAACAGTTAAATCTTTATGAAATAGATTAACAAAGCATGAAAATGTTGTGTATTTTTATACAACTGTTGTATATTTAATACAATTTAGAAAAGGTTTAAAAAACTAGTTTCAAATTAAGTGCTTTACTTTATAATTAAAGTTGAGTTTTTGTTATATATATAAAAAAAAGCAGTTTGATGCAAACCTGTTCTGACAACTACTTTTAAAACTGCGCTATTAAGAATTTATCCTTGCTTTTTTATATAAAAAGTGACAATCTGTAAAATGGAATTGGGGGGACAGGTAAGAGGGAACGGAAAAATTTTGATAGGTTTTTTCAAGTTTTTAGAGCATTAAAATCAAGCAAAGCTTGAATATATAAATATTTTATTAATAAGGTGACATTGCTGAAGGCAATGATTTATGTTTTTTCAACTGTTTTTATTTTTTTTATTTGTAATTAAATAGTGAAAATAAATGAAAAAGTAATAAATAAATAAACGGATAAATAGTAACGCTATAAATTAAAAAGAAAATTTTTTTGAATTGAAAGTGAAACGAAATATGGAAAAAAAGAATATATTGTTTCTTAACTTTGTTTTATTTAAAAAAGTTTTTTTTTCAAATTAAGAAATTCAAAAAAGACAAAAAAAAAAAAAAAAAAAAAAAAAAAATTTAAAGGAAGAGAATAAAATTTCTCTAACAAAACAAAATAAAAAAAGGCAAAAGAAATTTTTATGTTCTTTAACTTGGTCACGACCATTTGCAAGTTTTATTAAATTAAGCGTTTTAATAGTTTGTGAAAAAAAACTTTTTTTTTCTATTTAAATTTATTTTAATTTCCTATTTTGTTTGTTTTGCTTTCTTTATTTTTTCAAGTATTGTAACACCTTATGTAATAAAACTTGTGACCAAGTTGTCTAAATTAAAAAACTTTTTTGTGGACACACAAGACAAAAAACCACACTCATCTCCTGGGAAGGCTTGTTTGTCTATTTATTTTTCTTTTGGTATGCTTTGCTCATTATATACACCTTTTTAATATATATTTATTTTTTCAGACATGTAATTAGTCATTTTAACAGAAATTAGTTTTAACCATATAAAATTTTTCATTTATTTTTTGTATAGCATCTAATAGATAAGTTTTTGTATAGCATCTAATAGATAAGTTTTTGTGTAGCATCTAATAGATAAGTTTTTGTATAGCATCTAATAGATAAGTTTTTGTATAGCATCTATTAGATAAAAATAGTTACTACAAAAAGCTTTTCGATGCACGGACTGAAACACATCTGCCAAGCAAACCAAAATCACTATCACAAAATGAATGCAACATTTTTTGGAATTCGATAAAAAATTGTCGTCATTTTCAAAATAAATGACAAATTAAAATTCTGGAGCTTCAAGAAATAAAGAAGAATCCAACAAAAAAAATTGTTAACTTCATCAGTTCTAATTTCTCAAAATAATAGTACTGTATTATCACATGATTAACACACTCTCTGACCAAAACAAGACATTTCGACCAAAAAGCTATCAATTGTGGAGTCAAAACTTATTATGCTATTGCTTCGAGAAAAATGTGGAATGAAAAAATATTATTGAAAGTCAATCGGAATTACTATAAACAATTATTCAGATTTGTGGTGCCGCAGACAAATGAAGATGACTTTGAGAACAATTAAATCTCTTGATGAGTTAACAGAAGCTTTGCAAAATCAAGAGTTTACAATTGGCAGATTAAAATTCTATTATCATCTTTTACCTAAAAATTCTCACACAATAGATGGCAACTAGCATGTCACTACTGTTCCTGTAAGACTCATTAAAGCAGGAAAAGACCTTCATAAAAATAATCCATTTTGCTTTGATTGAGAATTTAACGGAATTGGTTTTGATCTTGGCACCAGCAGAAGTTACTTTAGTGAGCCAAGATTACAAAGCAAAAGTGTTAATTGGTCTCCCAACAGCTACCCTACAAGCTCCCTTAATCATGTATATGGATTATAAAGTAAGATTGCCTGATTACGATTTTGTCATTGCTCCATGCCATAAATATATTTCATTAGTCTATGCTGGGCTGAAAATTGATAAAGATGGATTTTTTATAAAGAATTGCTACCACAAGAATGTACTACTAGGGCCCTACCTAAATTTCAATAAGATCAGCAAAGCATTCGAAATCCACTGCTTATTCTCATGCAAAAGATTATGCAAAATTACATGAACTACCTTTATTTCGAGACATGTTGGATTTGAATAGTAATACAAAGACAATTGTTATAATGTCTACTGATGGAGGACCAGATGAAAACCCTAGGTATCAAAAAATAATAGAAATTCACAACTTCATCACATTTTCTTTGGATTTTATGAGAATTACCACAAATGCACCACACAGAAGTGCATTCAATTCAGTTAAACAAAAAAAGGGCTCCACATTTTATGCTAACTTTCAGGATTAATTTTGCAACACCCTGAATGAAGCTACCTGCTAAGGTTACCCAACTGATATCATATTCCAGGGTTCGAATTAAGTACATCGCAATCGCAATTGTTTTTCATACCTTTGCGATTAGTTTTTTCTTAAAGAAAATATTTTCTCGATTTGTTTTGTTTTTTTGGTTGTTTATTTACTTTTTTTTCTAATTTAGCATATTTTTTTTGTTGCAATTCTTAAAAGTAATGTTTTTGCTAAAAACATAACGCTAAATTTAACTTGAATAGAGATTTCCATTCAACCAAAGCACTTTTGAATTTAAATTACTTTAAATCTCTGTGTGGAAGCCAATAATATTTAAAAGGTTGTTAAAGCAAAAAGTTGAAAAGGAAAAAGACATTGAAAAGAATTTTTTCTACATTCTTTTTTTTAGCAAAACAGCCTGGTTTTTATCTTTGCTTTTAAAACGTTGCACCAAACTAACTTATTATTAATAATTTAAACTATTATTTTATCAACAATATTATATAATTAATTTTACTACTTTAAGTATAATAAAAATTTTATAATCTCAATAAAAACGAATTAATATATTAATTCATTTTTATAAAAAAAAATTTTCTATTAGTTAATTAAAGCTAATAGAAACCAGCAACTTTTTTGCTTTAATGACCTTGAAGCTTTTAAAGTTATATTTAATTTGCAACCCTCGGTATTAGGGTCGGTATTCAGCAATGCCGACCTGAAAGTTTTTGAGGTCAGCAAAAAATTGCTGATCTTGTTTCTATGTTTTGTGGTCAGACCTTTGTATCAAATAAATTTTGCAGACCTGATGCCGACCTCAAAAAGATTGAGGGCAGCAATAATTTGATGACCTCATTATTTCTAATTCCGAGGGTTGACTTTGATTTACTGAATGAATAAAGTACTTTACAATAAATTTACTTATAAACTAAATCAAAACAATCAGTTAAGTTGCAACTGTAAGTTACAGTTGCTCAAACATATACTGAAAGACTCGCAAAAGTTAGCCACACAAATGTTTTTATTTACATCTTAAATGTTGTTACCACATAATATAAGCTTCTAACTAAAAATTATTTTAACAAAAGTTGTCGAATAGAATATGAAAAACGCAATACATTTTTTTATATTTTCATTTTATTTAAAGCAATATCAAGATTAAATTATAAATACTATTTTTCTATAAATACACAAGTTGTTTTTAGAAATTTTATTCAAAAAAAAATTCATTTAAGCAAAAGAATTTTAGTATTTTAAAATTCTCTTATTCAAATAATTTTGCGATTGAAATTTGAAATTGAAAAAACAATTTGAAAATTTTAAAAGTATTTGAAGAAACAAGGGTGAATGAAGAAATTTTTTTTTTTATAAATCGTAAATTCCGTAAACGTTTTGAATAGTTAATTATATTTTGTTTCTTGAAAATAGTTTTAAAAGTTGAAACATTCTATTGCGAACATTAAACCAGTGATTGCAAACATTAAAATAAAAATTAAATTATGAAAAATTAAAATTAATAAACAATTTTACTTCTGTTCAAAGAAATTTTTTTCTAAAAAAATAATTTAAGCATATTCTTAAACATAAAATAATATAATTCAATTTATTAAACTGAATTTTTTTGTTTCACTTTTTATTGGAAAACAATTTGAATCAAATTTTTTTTGAATGAAAACATTTTAAAAGGAAAACTAAATTATACTTTTACTTTTTTAAGAATCATGTTAAGTTAAAACATTTACTAAAACAATATATATTAATAGTATTAAATATGCTACTTATTGAGCAATACAAAATCATCAGTAAAACCAACAAAGTTAACTTCTCAACCCCTTAGCTTCAACTAAACACCAATAAAAAAGTATATACACCAATATAAAATATAAAGTACAATATCTAACTGTGTGGACAAACAAAATAATTGAAAGCACAACTTGTATGAAATTGCGCAGAAAGAAACAACTTCCTCACCAACCATGTTGTCTAATCATGGAATGCTTGAACACAAAATGCGGTGAATTCAAAGAACCTCGACAAATTCAAATACAAACTTTCTTTGCTCCGGCGTCTTAACTTTAGCTGAAATCTAAAAACTATATTTTTATCACAGAGTGGCCTGGTGTGCTGCTTTGTCAATAACTTGTAAATTTTGTTGACCATGAATAAACCAAACAAACATGAAAATTTCAAAAATGATAATTATAACATAAAAATAAAAATTTTATTTTTTAATGCATAAAAAAAGAAGTTTATTAACTAAAAATAATAAAAGCGCATTTTTAATAATTTTTTTCAACAAGTTTTTAATGATATAACTAATTATAATAATTATAATAACATTTTTAAAATTTATATAATTTCGCTATAATAACATTTTTAAAATTTCATATAATTTCGTTTCATTTGAGACCCAGCATGATATGCCTTTGAAAAACTTTTTTTTTAAAATAATATTAGGAATTTCTTAAATGTTCAAGGGTCTTGAGATACCTGTTAAAATATTTTTTGATTAAAAATTTTAAAATTCCATTGTTAATATATATAAAACACATTTAGGGAGTTTTTAGCTAAAGTTGAATATTTAAAATCAAATAAAGAAAAAGTTTCACAATTTGTACTTACATATGTTGACCATCGTAACTCAAAAAAAGCAAAGCTAACAACAACATAAAAAGCCTAAAAAAATATATAGAAATAATAAAAAAATATGCTAAAGATTGACTCTTTTTGGCAATAGCATCTACTTAATGTACTACTACAAAACTTTTTTTTGACATTAACATCAAGTAGATTCCAAGTTAAAACAAAAAAAATTGATAATTTTTTAAAAATCAAACATTAAACAGTTTAGTTATGAAATCTTTATAGTTGTACTTTGTAAACCTAATGTGTTTTAAATTCACAAATCATTTAACATTAATTATTAGATAAAACCCTGCCCCGACCTTAAGCAAAATGGTTACATTTTTTACTAAATGATATGTGAGTGATTTGTGTTTAACTTTAGTTACTTTGTAGTCATATAACTCAGTTAGTTAGAGAAATAAAAATCTAGAAAAGTTGTGCTTTAAGATTTCTAATCTTCAAGTCTCTGTGTGTGTGTGTGTGTGTGTGTGTATGTATGTACAGGGCTTAATTTAACAGTCGGACATCGGACATTGTCCGGCAAAAAACCTCAGATTGTCCGATCAATTTACAAAGTTATCGGACATTTTTTCCAGCAAGATTTTTAATTCCATAAAATAAAATTTTATTCGTTGATTTGAAATTAACTAATTTAAACTTAATGTAAACTATTAGACAAACTTATAAAATATGTTGATAATGGAGGCATTCATTCCTAAAAAAAGCGCTGTTATTAATTGTAGATTTAATGACTGTTCTTTAACAGTTTTATTGTTATATTATTAAATTTAAAATTATAGCTTATTTAAAACGATCGCAAAAGTCAAAGTATGTTCAATTGATTACTGCAAACGCTGTGGACACCGAAAAGCAAAGAAAAGCTAGCAGTTTGAAAAATTTGAAAATAAAAGATTTTACAAATGTGTTTTTTTAGGCTGAAATCTCATCAATAGAATATTTTTAAAAAAACATTAAGAAAATATACATTTAAATATTAATGTTATAATCATCCAAATCATTCTATTTTGGCTTGAGCGGTTTCTTGGTGGCATCCTGGTCCTACTCGAGTTTTCCGATTCTTATATTATTCGTTTTTTAAACTATATCTTTATTTGTATTTTATCTCTTATTATATATATATATATATATATATATATATATATATATATATATATATATATATATATATATATATATATATATATATATATATATATATATATATATATATATATATATATATAAGATTAAAAAGTTCTAGCTTTATAAAACTTGTCTGCCAAAAAAGGAGTGCCTTTTTGAAAAGTAGATAAATAATAACCTGTAGAACTCATAAAATTTTCTTTGTTGAATTGATCAAATTTTAATGACATGCAGCGCGTGGAATTTTTAAATTAAATAATAACCCGTAAATATTATATTGCGTTTGATTTAACCGCCTTTAAATAAGTAAAAGCGAAGTTTAAATCTTTTATATCAAGTTTAAAAATAATATGATTATCTTAATATTTAATATATTAAAGACATTATACTATATTACTATAACAAACTTGTTTTCTTGCCGTTTTTATTATTGATAAAAATAGTTACATGAACGCCATATAAATACCTTTTTAGCGCTAAAAGTGGAGCTTATGCGCAAAATTGACACTTAGCATATTTTATTTTTTTAAGTAAAAAAATTTACATAACTTTTATAAACCGGTAATGCAATTCAATGTAAACTAACAAAGTTTTCGAGAGAAAAAAACTCAATAAAACTTCAAGTCTATCTAAAAAAATGCGCAGTATTGAATTTATACTATTTCATTTAAAATACAAAGATCTACGATGATAAAAATTCTGAATATTAAAAAAAAACTACAATTTCACTAGCCTAAAATCAAATAAACTGGGAAAACATAACATATATTTTGATTGGATAATTAGATTCCGTAAAACTCAGATACGCCAGAAGCTAGTCTAAAAAAACCCATCTGCAGTACTTTTTTACTCTCGGCATTTAAAGAACTATCTTTTTCCTGTGTTCCTTTTAACAAAACAAATATGAATATATGTAAATATTGGTGAAAATTATTTGTTTAAATTTTATTTTAAAAATTTGATCGGACTATGTCCGACCAAAATAACTTTTGGTCGGACATTTTGTCCAGGACCTTATAAAAAATTAAATTAAGCCCTGTATGTATGTATATATATATATATATATATATATATATATATATATATATATATATATATATATATATATATATATATATATATATATATATATTTATATACATATATATATAAACTAGGTTTGAATCCATAGACTATTTTTTATGTGCTTTCATTTAGCACCACTTTACTCTATCACCTTTCTCTTTGTTCTATATCTCTCCTTCATCTCAAGACTGCACTCTTCTTGATGTTATTTCTGATCATATTGACCAAGCCCTTTCTTTTTATCCATCAGTCAATATTGTTGTTGTCGGTGACTGTAATACTCATCACATTGAATGGCTTGGCTCTAGTGTCAGTGACTCTGCTGGCATTAAAGCCCACTACTTTGCCTTTCTCAATCCCTAACTCAAATAGTCAACATTTCAATTCGCTTTCCAGACAACCCAAATCATTTACCTTCTCTACTCGACCTATGTCTTATTTCTGATCCTAGTCAGTGCTCAGTTTCTTCACATTCAGCCTTAGGTGCTTTTGATCACAGTTTGATCTCTCTAAAATTATTATCTCATTCTTCTTCATCATCTGAATCCCCCTATCATTGTACCTTTTACAACTACCTTAAAGCTGACTGGGACTCTTTCCATGATTTGATGGCCCTTGGATAGAAATCTTTTGTCTTCCTGTTGACAAATGTGCTTCTTAAATAACTTTGTGGATTCAGGCTGGCATGGAATCCTTTATTCCTTCACAATGATTCCAGGTCAAGCCTCACTATTCTCCATGGTTTTCCTCACATTGTGCTACTGCAATTGCCAATCGAAATTGTTACTTCCATGTCTATCAGCAAAACAATTCTCTAGAAAACAGACGTCTGTTTATTATTGGCAGAAACCATTGTAAAAAGGTTTTGTCTAACGCCAAAACCTGCTTTTCTCAGGTCATGAAACCTCGTATTTCATCACAAAAATTAGGTTCTCTTAACTTCTGGAGAATTTTTAATAGTATCAATAATAAGGGCAAATCTGTAATTCCACCTCTCTTGTATGGTTCAGACTCACCTAAAGACAAAGCTGATTTGTTTGCTAAGAACTTTTCATCAATATTATCTCTTGATTCCACTAGTTGGGTTCTACCTGATATAGCTGTCAAACAGGTTGATCCATTGCTTGACATTCAAATCACTCCAGCTTTTGTATCTAAAGTGATTTCCTGCTTAGATTCTTATGCAGCTTGTGGCCCGGACAACATACCTGTTATAGTTTTGCAAAGTATTCTCTGGAGAGCACATAATTTAATTACCGCCCCATGAGTCTTCTTTCTATCATAAGCAAAGATTTAAATCTTTTCATTCTATGGCTAATTTGCTAACAGTAATAACTGATAGGTTTTATTGTGAATTAGATAAAGGTGGAGAGGTTAAGGCCATCGGTCTTGACTTGACACCGGTCTTGAAGCTTGACATCGGTCTTGAAATTTCTAAAGCTTTTGATAGCTTGAATGCTTGGTATGCTGGTCTTCTTCATAAGCTTTCTTCTTACGGTCAATACTTACAAATTGTTTCCGATCTGTAAGATAAGATCGAAACCAATCATTTACAACATCACAAATACCAGTGTTAATAATAGTGTTCTAATTTAGAAATCAAATTGTTATGATCAACGGTATCAAAAGCTTTTTGTAAATCTATAAAAATATCACAAACAAAATGATCTGTGTCGAGAGCTTCCCTAATTTTTTCAGTTATACTGAATGGCAGGTATGAATATTTTGAACGAAATGGCAGGTAGAATGTTTTGAACGAAAAACCAAATTGAAATTCATTTAAACAGTTAAAAGAGTTGAGAAAAGAAGTTTCAATTTACAAACAGTATTCAAGAAGTTAATGGCATGATCTTTAAGATTATTGAATCTTTCCATTCCAATTGTAATATGTTGTCCTAGTTGTCCTAGATGGACAGCGCTCTTCTTCTTATTCTGTAACCTCAGGGGTTCCTCAAGGTTCAATCCTTGACCCTATACTCTTTTTAATTTACATTAATGATCTTCCAGATATTCTCACAGCTAAGGTGGCATTGTTTGCTGATGATACTACCGTTTATTCTTGCCATGATAAGAAGCCAACACTCTCTGATTGCTTGGAGGGGGCATTTGAGCTTGAAAAGGATCTCACTTCTGCTACAGCATGGTGCTCACAGTGGTTGGTGAACTTTAATTCAGGTAAAACTCAACCTTTTTTTATTGTTATTTCAATAATTAAAACTTTCTTATATTTATGAACGGTAATGTACTCGATGAGTCATCTACCCTTCATCTTCAAGGATTAACTCTTACTTCTCATCTTTCTTGGAAACCATATATCAAATCTGTTACAAAATTACCATCTGCTAAGGTTACATCTCTTTATCGAGCTTGACACTTTCTTACTCTGGATTCTATTCTCAATCTTTATAAATCTCAAATCCAGCCTTGTATGGAATACTGTTGCCATATCTGGGGCGGATCTTCTAATGACACCCTTTTTCTTTTAAACAAGATGCAAAAACGCATTGTAAACATAGTTGGACCTGCTCTTGCAGCCAACCTTTAACCATTATCACATTGTCATAATGTTGCTTCTCTTTCTCTTTTCTACAAATACTATAATGGGACATGCTTTAAAGAGTTAGTGCCTCTTCTTTTTTCTGTGACTGTTCCTACTCTTATTTGTCTAGATTTTTCCTCGAACATCAGTTCTTTGAAATTTGTTTCCTTCATCTTGCTTTCCTGATTCATATAAACTGCAATCTTTTAATTTGTCTGTCAATCTTTATCTTGCTCTACAATCTTTATCTTTTCTCTTCCAGTAACTTCCATCTCTAATTAGCAGTTGCTTGCAGCCTTGTTGGAAGTGAATATGTTTTAATAATAAAAAAAAACTCAGTTACTTATGATAGAGGTAGTGATCAATTGAAAATAATATTTTAACAAAAGTCAAACTGAAAATAAATTTTTATTATTCTTAACTGGAGCTGAAAATAAACTTAAACCAGAACAGAAACCAAAAATCAATAAATATAGTTAAAAGTTACAACTTTTTTACAATTTAAACAAAATTCCCTTGGGACATCATTATATATTTGCTATAATATATATAGTGGGACATCATTATATATTGCTTTAACATTATTTATTTGCTATAACAATTTGCTCTTTGGAAAAATATATAATCAATCATACATATATAAATATGTATGTTTATGTTCTGCCTAATTCTTTGTGCCGTGTTCACTTACCATATGTTGATATTTAATGCTTGCATTTAGTCTGAACCTATGAAGTGGTCTCACTCACCTGTAAGTTACTATATCTAAGTTTGTGTTCTGTATAAACCTTTAGTTCATACAGAACCTCGAACCCCTTCTTTATCTATTATTCCAACCCCTTTTTCATCAGATGAAGATGTGTTACATTGACCTGTGTTACATTGTTTCCCGCTTAGGATGATGAATCCTAGATCCTGTTATCTCCTAATGAAGGTACAGCTCTAAAACTCAGTTTAATGGTTCTAAGGCCATTGATTTACAAAGACTCTAATATTCACATGCTTGGTTTGTCATGTAATCTGATTCGAACCCTATGACCATTCTTTTATGTACTTCCGCTTAGCACCTCTTCACTCAGCCACCTATCTCTTTGTTCTTTATTGTTCTCTTTTTCTCAAGACTGCACTATTTAGATGTTATTTCTGATCAAATTGATCATGCCCTTTCTCATTATCTTTTTGCCAATATTGGTGTTATTGGAAATTTTAATGTTCATCATATTGAATGGCTAGGCTTTAACACCACTGACACAAAACACAAATTCTGCATTTCTTAGATTTCTTATCTCTTAGATAGTTAACTTTATGATTTGTTTTCTGGTTAACCCTAATAATTTACCTTCTTGATTTGTGTCTTGTCTCTGACCATAGCTTGTGTTCAGTTTCTTCTTTTTTTCCTCTAGGTGGTTCCAACCATGCAACAATAATAATAATAATAATAATAGTAATATATCAATGCTGAAACAGAGATAATGCATTCCTTCAGAAACTATTGCAGCCGTTGCTAAAAATAGAACCATATAACCAATGAGGAGAACAACCACAAAACACTAAACAAGCATTTAATTGTAAACGTAGCTGTCAGTAATTATATCTGGACCATAAAATAACCTTAAACAAGTTTAATAATATTGCATTGGTATCTTTAGTCTTTAAGTTATTCCACAATTTTGCAGCTCTGATGGAAAGTCTGATGGAAAAGTAAGTTACTTATTAATAGTAAAAATAGTTATACATTAGTTTACTTCATGTAATAATTTATTATGCATTCATTTCTGTTATAAACCATTACAGATTCTTAAAATAAAATTAAAATTTAAGCAAAAAGTTTAGATTTTTTTTTTTTTTTTTTTTGAAACAGTAAAAATAAATTGTATAAATATTCAGGAAGAAATTTTTCATTTCAACCAGTTCTACAAATTTTAGGATGTGAAACAAAAATAATGTCTTGATTTGAACATACTGAGACTCCCAGAATGATGTATATATAAAATTGAAGGCTTCCAGCATTCTCTTTATCAATTTGTTTCTGTCCTTTCTTTAAATCTTTAGGCTAAAAAAAAAAACACAAAACAGTTTTACTCGCGAGAGCAACGCGTTGAGTTTATAATAAATTTAAATTTATGCTAAATGAGAATACAACAGTCAATAAAAACCTTTAATTATTCTAACAACTAATAGATCAACGTGTATTTTGAAATAAATATTGTTATGCAAAAAATGTATACTTACTGCCATTTGTTAATTAATATGTTCTGTAAATAAAATAATCGATAAAAAAACTAATAAATTATGTTATGCAAGGTATCTTTGTCTAAATGGCTTTAAAAAGAGGTAAAACTATATAATATTAATGCAATATGAAAACATTGCTACCATAATGGAATATTTTGCGGGTTCTTATGCGTATAATTTACCATCATGGTGAGCCATTATGCGGGACATTATTCATATTTCGTCTCTTAAGGATCGTTCTTTTTAAAACTGCGACTTCGTGTGCGGATTGAATTCTTTATCGAGAATGCAGTTCTTTATTCATGGCGATAGTATTACAACATATGACCTTAGCCCTAGTGTTAAGATCAGCGATTTAAAAGAACTGATATCGTTTAGAAGTGGAGTTCCAGTAGAAAGTCAAGTTCTTACTTTCTCCGGTCATTGTTTAGATGACGAAAAAACTTTATCTGAATGCAACGTGGATGCCTTATCTACTGTTCATCTTGGAGTAAAAATTCTTGGAGGTATAAAAATGTTTTTTTTTCATCTTCAAAGCGTTTTGGAAGTATGATGAGCTTTGTGTGGTTTATAAATATAGTTGGCTGACGTGTACTTCAATATTAAAAGTGGGTGCTTGAAATACACGTTTGTAAATTTTAGAAACGAATCTAGTTAATATACTATAAACTATAAGTATTCCCAAAATGTATTTACTTTGCTGGTAATTATTAAATATCTACATTAAAATGATAACCTGATCCTAGATCAGGTATAATGAGCATTAGAAAGTTACTTTAAAAAATACACTTTTTATTAGATTTAGCTTCGTTTGCGTAATGCTAAATTTAAATGAGTGTATTTGATCTCATTAAAATATAATATAACTACATTAATAACAATAATAGCTTGCTGTAAAATAACTAAACATTTTGATTTATAATTATTTTATTGTTCTGATTTTGTTATATCATTGATCACTATTAACATTTAATTATTGTCAAAAAATTGATCAGCGTTAACATTTATATTATTGTCAAAAATAAATGTATAAAAAACTTGGATTCAGCTGATTATGCTGATTTAACTAAGCTCTGTATAAGCTTTGTAGTATATGGTTTTTCAGAAAAAAGAAAAGAAAAAATTGCTGTTTCACCTCACCCTCAATATTAGTAGCACTCCTTTGCGGCAGCAGGTTGATAGTTATTTAAACTACACATGTATGTATAAAAGCATGTTTAGATATATTAATGTGTCTAATGTCACACATACCGGTCAAGATTTACATTAAAAAACATTAATCTTGAAATCAAAAAGAAGTCTGTTTACAACATGAATACACCATCATACACCCTGAATGTTAATATTCGACTTTTTAAAGCTCAATTTTAGTTCATAATTACACAGCAACATGTTGTTTTATTCTGATAAAACATAACTTTCTTTAGAGAAATTCCTTTTGTATTTCCATTATATATATATATATATATATATATATATATATATATATATATATATATATATATATATATATATATATATATATATATATATATATATATATATATATATACATACATATACATACACACACACACACTATTATTTCGGTAGAGTATTTCTGTCAAACTTTGTGGTTGTTGGTTGTTAAGCATCATGCAGGAAATGTATATACATCAGTAAAAAGGTTAAGGTTGACTAAGATTGCTTGTTCTTACCCAGACCCTGAGTCAATGTATGTACATTTGCATGTTTTCCATTTAGTCAGTTAGTTACGTACATTACATTTTTTTTTTTTTTGATACTCAAGTCAGTTGATGTATCTACAAAAAATAAAAAAGTACATAAAATTCTCATCTAAATGAATTTTCTATACTGAGAATAATGATTTTCCTAATTTCGAAAATAATTTGAAGAATGTTATCAATATTAGTGTATTTTTTCAACACTTTGACATCAAATTAGAGAGCTTTCTTTTCATTATTAAGCGGTTTGTTAAAAAATCTTGATCAGTATAAACTTTCCAATCATAGTCGTTTAAAAAGTATGGCGTAAAAATGTAAATAACTACCATTAATATGTATTTGTGTATATTAATGTAAACTAAAATAGCCTGTTGTTGGGCCTTCAGTGCATACATCAACTATCTTATATCTTGCTGTCACAAAGGTGTGCCTCTACATAAGCTGAGGGTTGAGGATGGGGCAGAAATATTTACTTTTGTAATTCTCCAGGGTTTTTTCTTTTCTGAAAAAGCTGTATGCTATAAAAATAAACAAAATCAGTAAGCATTTGCTGACCTATATATGCTATAGCGTGTATACATGTGATAAAAATTATTTGAGGTCTGAATATATATTATGTGCACATTGGTTTGTAAATCAATATTGCTTGATATCTGTCAAACATTTTATGACAGCCTAAATTTTGCTGCAATATATATGTATTTTTTTATAATACTACTAAAATAAATAAAATTTCAGTTATTTTTGCATAAGTGGTTTACTCTGGTATTTGTTTAATGTCGCATGTATTTGGTTGTGTATTATTTAACCTCTCATCAGTATTTTCTAGATATACATGCATTTTTTAAAAATGAATCTAAGATTTGCATAAAATAGAAAATTCAAAACTAATAAAGAGCCAGTTGTTTTAAAAACAAACAAGTTAAATATAGTGATAGCTCTGTTATAACCAGGGGTTATCTTTTTATGGACTTTTATTTAGATATTTAGATGGTTTTCTGGAAGTACAAGTTGAATTTTTTTTGTGTGTGTCATCAAGTAATTAAAACAGTTAAGGTAATGTTCGTCAATTGCTCTGCATTCGATTTAGTTAGGCTAAGCGTTATTTGTGCGTGCATAAAACTAATTTTTCCTTATTGTATATTCATTACCAATTATTTAAACTATTTTGCCTAAAAACCCAGTTTAATTCAATTTAATTATTTTTTATATAAATTGTATTAATTTATAAAAATTTTAAATAAGTATTAAAAAAAATTTTGTTCGTATAAAAGAAAAAAGCCAAAACCTAAACCCTCAGTTGATATATGCACTCTTCACTGTTACAACCCCATTATGCACGGGAGGTAAGAAAAGAATTTTCTTTTGAATGTTCATAATACTTTTTTTAGGTTCCGTGCCTACTGGGACATGTATAACAGTTTGTTTATATGTGCATTTATGCACATAATCTTTGAATCGGAACTTTGAAAATAAAAATAAACAACTTTAAAATAATATTTAAAAATTTAAAAAAAAAAAACATTTCATTGGAAATTCAAACTTGTAACCTTACCAGCTTCGTGTTGCAATTTTATCATAGTATCGTTCACAGTACTACAATGCTATTGACTAATTTGAAAAATTAAAATATTTAAAGGTTGTTTGGGTGCAAATAATAATAATATGTAAATGTTCTAATTTACACAAAATGCATTTTTATATTTCAATATATTTAGGAAAACAATTTTCAGATTTTTAAAATGACCAGGATAATCCCTGGTTATAACTTTAATTTTTCACATAAAATTTGAATTGTTTAGTAGATAAATTAACTAATAAAAGTATTTAGAGTTAAAATTTTAATCAAAATTAGACCATTTTGCTATAAATTATTTAAATTAAATAAATTTTTAAGTCCTAGGTTTAGAAATTTTACTAGGCTTATGGCAAGCACGATTAAGACACCTTGTGTTGAAGTATATAAGTCAATTTGGTGTGATTGCAATCAATTACTAAAATCTAAATGCATAAAATTTAGTATCAAATAAAGATATACCAAGGGTGTGAGTTAAAGCTGTAATTTAAAAAAATATTTAAAATTTTTATAAGATTTTTTCTGTTTTTTTAATTTTATAATTTCCTTTGCAGGTAAAGTCCATGGTTCATTAGCTCGTGCTGGTAAAGTCAAGGGTCAAACTCCTAAGGTGATTTTTTTATCATTATTATTTTGTGAAACAATATTTTAAAACTTTTTTTTTTCTGTTATTAAGGTTAACAGTTACATTTTTTGACAAAGTTAATTAAATTTGTAGGTCGATAAACAAGAAAAGAAAAAGAAAGCCCTGACTGGTCGTGCTAAACGTAGACATCAATACAGTCAACGTTTTGTCAATGTTGTTTTGATTCCTGGTAGAAGACGTGGACCAAACTCCAATGCCGCATAATGTGAAATAAATTTATTTACTTGTGATAATTTTGTTTTGTTACTAATCCGCAATATTACCATTGATATAGCGCAACAATTGATTTGTGGGTCTCGGACCAAAAAAAATGTATGATTTTACTGTAAAACAGTACAATCACCTCTCATATAACACGGTATTCTTACAACGCGAATCTCCATGAACGTTAGAACTGCTTCCCTATTACGCGGTGTGATCTCCATACAACGCGATCATTGTAAAAAGATTCAAAGCGTTATTTACGCGAAAAAGAAAATCTTTTTCGCGTAAATAAACGGACATTTAACAACTATCCGGCCGGATGCGGATAATGGAATTTAAATATTACGTTAAGACTAAAGTTACCGTAATAACCTTTTCAAAATGACGAGTTTTGTTTGGAAACTTTTTAAAATTAGTGATAGCTGTGATTCCATAGCTATTTGCATTCCATGTGGAAAGCATATGAGCAGGGGGTGTTGTAAATCTGGTCAGCAGTCATTTTCTACAACTCCACTGCATAATCATGCAAAAAAATTTCATTGTAAATTATATGAAGAGGAAAAAAAAAATAGAAAATGGAATGTTCTTCAGCTGCTCAAGGAAGTTCAAAATGTAGCTCATTGATTTCAAAGAAGAAATGCAAAAACAGATGTCTGTTGAAGATAGTTTTACATCAAAGAAGATATGGGATATTAATGATGAAAAGTCGAAACGAATTCATAGAAAAATTGCTATTTTGATTGCTTTAGATAATCAACCATTTAGTCTAACCAAGGATGATGGATTTATTGGTTTAATGGCTTTTTTTACAACCAAGATATCTTATCTCAAGTAGGCATTTTTTTCGGAGACAGCAATTCCTCAGTTGTATGATCAAATTAAAAAAAAGGTTTTAAATGAAATTGCTAAGTCTCAGTGCATAAGTTTCACTTCAGATATTTGGACTATTGGTCTACATATTGGTCTGACGTCTCATGAAACATTTATTTCCTTATCAGAACATTGGATGAAAAAAAATTTTGACCGCAAAGGTGCTGTACTCTATGCTTCATATTTTCTAGAAGCTCGCACAGGGATAAACATAGCTAGAAAGTTTATAAATATGTTAGAAAACTGGAAAATAATGGGAAATAAATGCACCAGAAGACATACTTTAGTCAAAGATGGTGCTGCTAATATGTCACTAGGCAGTAAACTTATTCAAATAACTTCAGTTCATTGCACAATTCACTTATTGCAGCTCGTGATTAAGAATGCAGTTTTATCCCAAATATTAGTGATAGATTTATTAACTAAAGCACGTCGAATAGTAGGCCACTTTTATCATTCATCAAAGGTATGTACAGAATTTAAGTTACTGCAACAACAAAATGAAAACACACCTCTACTTTTGGTTCAAGATGTGCCTACTCGCTGGAATAGTGCGTACTTAATGTTAGAGCGACTTCAAAAACTTAAAAGAGCAGTTCAAATGTATTTAGCTGATCATAATGAATTGCCAACATTTGCATCAAATGATTGGAAAATCATTGAAAATTTATTATATGTTATAAGCCTTTTTATGAACTTACTAATGTTATGAGTTCTGAACTTTGTAGTTTATCAACAGTAGTTCCAAACATACGTACTTTACAAAAATTTTTATCAAAAATTGATCAAAAAGATGATGCAGTTCAAATAAGAGATTCTTTTCTTATGATAATCTCAATATAACAAATGATGAAAGATATGTTTTACGCACCATTATTGATCCTCGCTACAAGCTCAAATTTCTTCCTGTTGATAAGAGAAAACAAGCAAGATCAATGCTATTAGCAGCCGTGGCGCAGTGGTAGCGCACTTGCCTCAGAAACATAAGATCCCTGGTTCAAACCCCATCTCTAAGCAAGTTTTGCGACATCGGTTGGGAAGGAGGCGTGAATTTCCTATTAAATGCTCTTCTGCGGTACTCTGTGATAAGACCTTAAGGACTTCTTGGGGCACCTAAATCAACTTAAAAAAAAAAAAAAAAAGATGCTGTAGTAAAAAATCAAAGAAATATAGCTGGACTTTTATCAGTTGTTATTAATAGAGTTACCAGCTCCACCGCCACCATCTCCAATCATTTAACGCCAAAATCCAAAAAAAAAAGTTGATTTGGAAAAAAATGACTTTAACTCCTGCTTTTTAGAACTTGGAGAATATAAAGGAGATTTAGGTAAGAAAATCTCTTTCTGTTTATTAAAAAAGTTTTTAATAATTTTAAAAACTTTTTTGATAAACAGAAAAGCTTTTTATTAAGTTTTTTTTTTAATATTAGCTATATTTTGCATGTTGTTACTTTGCTGATTTAAGTATAATATACATTTTATTGAATAAAAATATATAAATAAATCATCTTTAGTATTTAAATAATTTTATATTACAAAACAAAATGGTGAAATAAATCCCGATCAAGTCTCCCTTGTAAAAGCTGCCCAAGAAGTTGATTTTTTCTTTAGTCACTCGATTATAGAAAAAAAAGAAGACGTTTTTAATTATTGGAAACACGAAGAGAAGTTTCCACTTCTAAAATAGGTAGCTCTTAAATTATTAGCACCACCAGCATCTTCTGTATTTTCGGAGCTATTGTTTTCCGAATATGGAAATATTTACGAGAAAAAGATCAACACTGTTATTTCAACGTGGAGAAATGTTACAATGTAAACTGATGTATTTGTTGCGTTTAATTTTAATAGTATTTGAATAATAAATTATTATTAATAAAAAAATATAACATTTCTTGGATTGTTAAATTTTTAAATTTGAAATAACTTTAACTTGAAATATCCGGTTTATCAAAAGCCGGATAATGTTATTATCCGGCCAGATAACGGATATCGAATAATACTGATACCTTGATAACGGATATCGAATAATACCTTTCCCCTTAAATGCAATGCATTATGGTATTAGTATGTACGTGAAAGTAACCAACAAAAATGAGTCGAGTAAAATGTCAAATATTGATAGAACGGAGATTGTCCCAATAGACAATGGTGTATTTTAATTCACACCTTTGAATTTTTTAGTTAAAACTTTAAAAACTATATTATTGGAGTTAACTTTGCACTATATAAGACTTTCGAAGAAAAGATAACAAGTGCACCAAACAATGTTATTCAACTAGGGTAACTTAATCAAATCTCGCCCACATCCGCACTGAAATCGATGTTGACAGACTATTATTAGACTTGCACAGCTGAACTATACATCATTAGATAGCCTATTCCTTCAGCTACAAAACTACGTAAAATAATTTAGATTTTATGAGAGTAGTTGGCAGTAACATAAATTGTACAGTGTGTCAAAAGCATTGATTCTCGCCCACTTGAACTCAATCTCGCCATGTTAATTTGTAAATTAAAAAAGAACTTATACTTGCGTAGGGGCGACTTTATATACAGGTGAGTGAGATTAAATCTCGTTAGTTAATTTCTATGCTTAATTGCACTATTTTAATTAGAAAAGTATAAAACCATGGGGTTTTGGTAAATGCAAACTTTCTCCCTATATGCTGACTTAATCTGGATTCTGAGATTCTGGATTCTTTTTAAATTTTATGTTTAGGCGCCCCAAGAAGACCTAACGATCTTGTCACTGAGCACCGCGGAACTGCATTAACAAGGAAGTTTACGTCTCCTTCCTTACCGTGAGGCGAAAATATGTCCAAAGCTCGTTTCGAACCTAGGTCTCCTGCTTATTAAGCAAGCGCTCTAACCACTGCGCTACGGCTGCATTATACTAAATACTTGAACTAGTAAATATAATATGTATACAACCTATTTAAACTATATACATTGGCCCTAATTCCCCTTTTGGGTTTCTTTTACATTAAAAAATAATGACTTTTATCTTATGATATTTGCTTGAAATCAACTTTTATTTCTCGTAAACAAAAATACATGTTATTTTGTTGGCTATTTAACTCAATACAAATTGCACTGTTTACCTAATAATTTTTTTGCTTTTTTGTTTAGTAATAATATAAAAACTGGTCACTTTACGGACTTAAACAACAAAATAAACTAGTTCCTAATGATATACCATTCTTTTCATCGAAATTAACTGTTCTAGTTTCTGCAGGTATTAAACTAGAGGATTCTGAGTGAAAAACTTTGTAAAAATATAATGTAAAAAGTTGGTAGCTGTCAATGAAGTTGGGAAGCCATACTGCTCGATAAAGCTTGTAACAGAACAAAAAGAATAAACTTAACAATGTTATTAATATTTAGCCATAGATTATTTAATGTAACAAAGTTGAAACTAAGAAGTGAGTTTAGGTACAAAACTGGCACAAAAAATTTCTGAAATTTGAAAGAAAAACCCCATTAAATCCGCTTAAATATATTCACCTGATGAAGTTTTAGCACTAATTATTAATGAGGATATATCAAAATCAACATACCAGCTTCTAAGAAATGATGCTAAAAAAATCACCTGCCACATATATCCTTTATATAATGGTATAAGTTCTTCAAAAGCTAAATGCTATCTCAAGAACATTTAAATAGATGGCTATTCAGTACAAATACCGCTAAAAGATCTTCTAAAACATCTTAAAAAGCTATATTGCATACAAACTACTGTGCAAATCACAATGCTAAGAAATTAACTAAACTGGCGTTTAGATGTAAGGCTGGTTTTGATGGTGCTACAGGGTATAGCGTTTACAAACTGGTAAATTAAAATGAAAATAGTAACCGATGAAGGCTGCCTGTTGATTATTTGCATACTGAAACATATAGAAACTTTAGAACTCAGTAGACTTTATAATAATAAAAACGTCGTGATATTATTCATCTAGCCAATAGATTAAAAATAAAAAAAAATACATTATTATAAATAGAGGTGATAAATAATCTACAGACTTATTCAAAACTTCGTGAACATATAATAATATCGATAATAGAGTTTCAAATCTAGTGATAAATTTTCATTTTTTCTGAAGTACGCATACGCATTTTTATTTTTTATTTAAATTTGTTTCATCGATTTTTTTTAAGTTTGTTCCACCAGAAGAGTTTTTTTATTCAGTTCCACAATTTTAAAAAGTTATAGGATCTGAAATTAAAAAAATTAATAATTTTTTTAATTTCAGTTCCTACAACTGCGTTTTTGAAGTTTTCTAAAGTTTGTTAAATAATTTTTAGTATTAGCAACTATTTAACTAAAATTTATAATAAAAGTAAATGTATCTTAATACAAAGTGATTCTTTAGACATATAAAAGGTTTTAAAAAAAAAAAAATCAAAATAAAATTTTTAAAGGGTTTTAAAAAAAAGATCAAAATAATTTTGTCCGCCATATGTTTGATGTCCGGCCCACTGTGCCACGTTTTAAACAAGTCTGTAGATTTATTATTATCTCTATATATAAGTCACTAATTTCAACATATATCTGTTTGTAAACAGTATGTCCTGTAGCACCACCAGATCCCTTGCATCTAAACGTTATATTAATTCTCTAAATATTGTGATTAGCACAGAAGCTTGTACATCACAGAGCCTTTTAAGAGTTTTAAAAGATCTTTTAATGGTATGTGTACTGAAAAATCATCTAGATGAATATTCTTCAGATGAATGTTCTTATGGATCTACTAAATGTCCTTCATATTGTGGCTCAAGTTATTCGGTTTGTCATTTGTTGAAAACAAGATTGATCTGATAAAACCATATTTTAGGACTTTAATTTTTTCACTTATATCTTGCCCGCGGCCTTTAAAGCATGATATATTCGTGAATAGTTTATATGAAGGAAGCTAGCTGTGAAGCTACAATAAAACTAATATGGTAGTTGTCGAGCAACTTGATCAACATAAGAGCAGGACAACGATATGAATATAGTTATAAAAATTATGATTTATTTTAGACAACATTATAACTTAATTGATGTAAACTTTTGTAAGTTAATTCATTATAGAATATAGAAGTGTATGCTAAGGGTATTTCTAATGTATAAAAGCAAAACAAAATAGCGGAATTAATAACTTCTTAATAACATTTTTTTTAATTTTAGAAGCTTCAGATACCATATGATGTGTTTCTGATTGCATGTTTTTTTTCCCTCTTTAATCTCAAAATGAGTAATATTGATCATGGTGTCTCTCTCCCTTACTGTTAATTAAAAAAAAAAACTATTGTATTTATATTTATGTTGTGAAGAACATGTGTCACATTTGTTATTTAAAAATATATAAAAAAGAGTATAAAAATCTCTTGAAAAAGTTAGATAAAATACAAAAAATATATATTTATATAATACATATATACAAAAATTAATATACTCCCAAACATGAAAAATACAAATATTAGGTTACATAAAATATTTAATAAATATAGTCAAATAAAAACAAAGTAAAATGTCAAAAACTTCGTTTATTTTTATTTTAGTTTTTTTTTATCTTTTCTTTTTCTTTTTGAAAAAGTTTCGTCATTAAATGGTTTACTGATTCAGTTGATAATTATGTTAAGCTTCAATTTAGTTTGATTGTTTTTTCCTTTTGTTACATTTTGTTTCAATTTATTTGTTCAGTTGATACTTTTGTCACATTTTGTTTTAAGTTGTTCTGTTATTTTTGTTGTTAACTTTTTATTTCATTGCTGTTATGTCAACTGTTTCATTGTTGTTTGCTTTATAATACTTGCTTTGTATTATAACGCGTAGTTTAAAAACCCAGAGTGGTTTTTTTCTAAAGCGAATTTTCCCACGTCACACGTTGTGTTGATTTGATTGAATGATAGATACAATTTGATCGGGCGGAGATATGATGAAAAACATTACCACTTATTTGCTAACTGCCTTTAACTTTACGCTGAGTGGGTTTCCTTGTTCAGGAGAAACGACCAACAAACCTTCGTACGATGTCTTCGGTAAAGTAGGAGAAAAGTAAACAGGAACACGTATGTAACTTTTTGGTCTAAACATGAAAAAAAAAAAAAAAGTAAAAATATGCCACGCAGGGTGACAAAGACTAATTTAAAAAAAAGTGAATTGATTATAAATTTGCCAAAACTCCATTTTAAATCTTGAAGCAATTTTCGACATTAGGCAAAAAATTATCGTTCTCCAATATTTAAAATTTTTAAATATTGGAGAACGATGATTATACCATATCGTAAAAAAATAATAAGAAAATTATTAATTGCATAAAAAAATAAAAACATCTAACATACACGCGATGAAAAATACACGTGATATGAATATATGGACATATGGACTTACTGAAAAAAAATCTCTAAAAAAAAATGATGGATATGGGTGAAAAAAATAATAAAAAAAGGGTAAAAAAAAAAAAAAAAGTATAAAACAAGTAGTGTTGTTTATGTTCTTGAGTAATAATAAAATTTTTTTGCAACCATTATCATATAAATGTAATAAATTTTTATTGCATAACTCTCTTTTGAAACATATATCTTACTAAAGATTTATTTTTAAGTTTAACTCTGAGGTAAGCAAGTGTCGAAAATATTAAGGCTCAGAGATAAATGTATAAAATTAACAATATAATTTAGATGAGTTCATTCTAAGTAAGTCAAATTTAATGTTCACATGTTTTATGGGTGCGAGTCAACAGCTAGTTACAAATTAACATAAACACACACATTGTATATGCTCTGTATCCTCTATAGCAAGCCTCGTACATAATTTTCTGAGCATAAAATGAAGTCTATTTAACATTTAACATTTTAAGCAAATCACACACTTTAGTATTCTATAATTGCTGTCTTTTTATAATCAAATATAGTTATATATACATTCTTTAGTAACCTTCCTTTATTAACATTCTTTAATAATATTTCTTATTAACATTCTATTAATATTCTTTATTAACATTCTTTAGTAACAGCTTTATGAGAACAAACGATATTTGGGTATTTTCCAGACTGCAATGTTTTGATATTCTCATTGAAAAAATAAACATTTATTTTACTGTATTAGGCATATAGCATTCAATAAAATATGTAAAGAGTTTAAACAATGTTATTGTTTTTAAGAGTCAACAATTCAATCATAACTTTTTATTGGCTACAATGGCATGTACAGTGCCATTTACAGTGGCTGCAGATATTATATTGACTGCTGTTTAATATTATAATTTTATGAATAAATTTCTTAAAAACTTATCTACAATGATGTTGATTTATATGTAAAAAGAGTTATGCACCAGTTATAAACACTTACAGTTAGAGAAATAAGTATCCGAACAAAACATTTTATTATGGAAAATAAACTTTGTCAGGTTATTTCAGAAAAAAATAATTTTATAAAAATAAAAAAATGATTATTCTGAAAAAAAATTTAATTACGAATTCAATTGCATAGTTTAAATGTATCTTAAATATTTAATTAATAAATAATTAAGATACATTTAAACTATGCAATTTTTTAGCATTAAATAAGTATTTGAACAAAATTTTAAAGATTAAGGCTTAAAGATTTACACTTCTCCGAGTAATTATTTTAATGACTTTTTAATATCGAGTAACTCAATTTGCTTTTGGATAAAAAACTCTTTTGCTTTCTTTGACATATGTTTAGGGTCATTATCTTGTTGGAAGATAAAAGGTTTTCCTAATCGCAGTTTTTTAGTTGAAGCCAGAAGATTTTTATTGAGAATGTTAACATAAACCTCAGAGTCCATAACTCCATCAATAAAATCCAGTTTTCTTGTTCCGTTTTAAGTCATCGATCCCCATACCATAACATTGTCTCCACTAAATTTTACTGTGCCTCGAGTACAACTGAGTGTGAATGCTTCACGTTTTTTCTCCATACTTTTTGAGCTCCATCGAACTTCCAAAGATTAAATTTTGCCTCGTCGGTCCACAAAACTTTCCTCCAGAATGATACCGTCATATTTACATATTTTTTAGCAAATGCAAGTCTTCTTTTTTGATGGATTTTTGAAAGGAATAGTTTCTTGTGTGAAACTCTTGCTTTGAATCCACTTTCTTTCAATCGATTTCGAATAGTACATGAGCTCACTTGTAACCCAAAATCTTTCTCAAGGAGGCTTGACACTTTTAGTGCTGATAAAAAGCTTGATGTTGTTTTACGCTTAGCTCCGGATCTTGGCTGATTTTGCACATTTCCAAACATATAATACTTTTCAATCAGATGGTTCCTAATGCCATTCCAATCGCTTTATTTATTGACCTAAATGTTTTAACTTGCTTAAACAAGTCAATAACCAAATTGCGCTGAGCTTGGGACCATTCCTTGATTTTAACTTCCATACTTGATGATATCAATGGTAAATCAAATGAATTTAAAAAAATATCAGTCAATTATTAAAAATTACTCGTTGTAAAACAACAATATTTCTAAAACTATTGATTTAAAAACTTTTTTCAATAATCAATTTCAAAACTTCGTTTACAAAACAACATGTTCGGATAATTATTTTTCATTGAAGTTTTAACACTCCTTCGGGAATAGTTAGATTTTAGCAACGCAAGCTAATTACCGTTGATTAATTTTTTGCTATATAAATTCATGATTAAATTTGCTTTTAGAACAATTATAAAAGTATTTATCAAAAACATGTTTTTCTGAAATAACCTGACAACATTTTATGTGAAAAATAAACCTGAGTTTATTTTTCACATAAAATGTTTGTTTGGATACTAATTACTCTGACTGTATGCTATAACTTAAAAAACGGAAGCACTTATAAATTAGTTTATAAAAATTAAAGATGAATAAAATTTAAACACAATTGAACCATATCTTAAAATTTACCTAATGGAAAGTCGTGTATGTTTTGGTATCAATGAAAAAGGTGGCTGAAACCCAGAAACTCTAACCTGTAAAAACATACATAATTTATATTTTAAAAAAATTTAGTTTTACTTTTAGATTAAAAAATCATATTATTACCAATAAAGATTGTAAAATAGATTATATCTTAAATGATATGTCATTGTTTCAAACAACAACATATCTGTTATATGTAATATTGATCTTTAAGACACAAATATTAATTTAATATTGTTGATGTCTTAAAAGATATATCTGTTTCCAACAACAAAAATTGTTATTATTTGCGTTAAAATTAGTTTTTTTTAACATCTTCAGCTTCTGTTAAAAAATTATTTAGTTCAGCTAGATTTTTTTTAGAACTTTTTGCCTCTTAAATTAAGATAAAAACACTTGTATTTGTAATAAAAAACTCACATTACATATATTTTTATTCAAATTTGTATGTGGGAATTCAATTATTTAAATTTGCATTTGTTCAAATCTTTTTGACTTTTTAATTTAGCCATAATTAATTAAATGCAAACAAAAGATATTCCAGATACTCCGAATATTTTTGTTTCCAATTATAGCTGTTAATTCATAATTGGTTAATTATAAAACTTTTCTTTATAAATTCATCCAAAACTCCTACCCCTCTACTATTTCAAACAATTAAAAAAAATCAAAGGCCGTCCGGATATTCACAAAGGCCACCAGGACTATCTGTGCATAATGTAAAAGATTTTAAGCTTTTATAAATATGCATAAAATCTATTTTAACAATCTATGTGAGTAAATGAACAATGTACTTTTCCAGCAAAATCTTAAAGCAGATGATGGTTTAACAATTCAAAGTGAGGAAACTTTTCTTATTCTTTAAAAAGAATAAATTACTTTTAATTTTTAAAGATTTTTAGAATTTGCTTATTAAACTACTGTGAATGAAATAGTAAACAGTTACAAGTTGCATTAATATTTTTTACTAGATTGGAATCAGTAACTTAATTAAAATATCAGATTCAGATCAATAAAACTCTAGGATTGATGCAGTTCATAAAGTCATTCATGGATGCTTTCACTGATTTATTGTCTAAATATTTGAATGTTTGTGTTTAAGCCGAGGCGGTGTTTACTTATCCATAAGTTTGTGTTCTGTTTAAATCTCTGATGCAGTGTGAGCTCAGTAATTAACTAGTGACTCCAACTACAAAACCTATGCTCGCCTTATTATATATCTCTAATATTTTATTAGATGTAATGTTTTCCTAATACATTTCCAAAACAGAGTTTAAATAGCTTTTATTAATTTTTTTTATTAAGCAGTCTTAACTCAATCAAGAGCATTGTGGCTCTGGATTGAGTAAGGCTTGAAATAGTGTCTCCATAAAAATACTAAACCCAAACCCTAACCTTGAATGGATGCAGAAGTTCAATGCATCTAGCTACTGTTTGAAGAAGGCCTTCTAGGCAAAGACTTAGGAGTAAGCAGAATAATTCTGGTGACCAGCCTGGAACCATATATCTTCAATTATTATAGTGGTGTAGATGTAACACAGGTTTTTTTGCCTCGGATGATGAATGCTGGATCTTCTTGACTCTACTCAGATTTTTGTTTGTGCCTTGTTGATAGTGGCTATACAGCTCATCCTGTTATCTCTTAGTCAGGGTACAGGTCTAAAACTCAATTTAATGGCTTTGAGGCTGGTTGGTAGTAAGGTTCCCTGAACTCTGTGATAGTATGATAGTTCTCAGAGAGGCTGATTCCATCAACAGCTGTAAGGTATCAGAGCATTAACAGTACCATATTGCACATGGATAGTGTCCCTGTTAGTGCTTTTGGTTTGTATTGTCAAGGCAACATAATTGGCCCTACAACTTTGGGTTAATTAACAGGACTAAGACAACTGCATAGTTCATTGCTTGGGAGGCTGAGCTCTACCTATGAAAGAGTCAAGTTCTCTTTAAACTTAAATCATGCCTAAAGTAACTTAAAATATTAAACATAAAAAACTGTCCCCACCACCTAACTGTTTTAATATATATATTTTACAAATATTTGTGGTTTGCAAAGAAACCTTCCATCAGTTAAATCTTCCATAACTCACAAGACTTGCTTACCCTTAGTGAGACTCATTTAAATTCTGCTATTCCTTCTTCAGATCTCAGTGCTGATGGATACTATTCTTCGATTCGCAAAAACTCTAATAGTCACATGCTTGGCTTGGGGGTATACATACGTATCAATTCACCTATTTGTTGTGAAATCAGGTTTGAATCCTTTGACCATTCTTTTATGTGCTTTCGTTAAGCATCTCTTCACTCTATCATCTTTCTCTTAGTTTACTGCAGTCTTTTAGATGTAATTTCTAATCAAATTGACCCTGCCTTTTCTCTTTACCCCAATTTCCAATATTGTTGTTATTAATGACTTTAATGCTCATCACACTGAATACCTTAGCTCTAACGCCAATGACCCAGCTGGCTCTAAAGCTTATGACTTCTGTATTTCACAACCTCATACTCAGATAGTTAACTTTGTGACTTTGTGACTTTCTGAACCCAAATCATTTACCTTCACTCTGATTTGTATGTTATTTCTGACCCTAGATTGTGTTCAGTTTCTCTTTTTTCTCCCTTAGGTAGTTCTGAGCATGAATGATCCATATAAATCTTTCATCTCATAATTCTTCTTTAGATTCACTCTATTACCAGACTACTTACTACAAGTCTAAAGCTAGCTGGGATTCTTTTCTTGATTTTCTTTATGACAATCTATGGGCTGATGTCTTTTATCTCTCAACTAATAATTGCACCTCTTTCATAACCTTCTGGATTCAGGCAAGAATTAAAGCTTATATTTGCTCTTGTTGATTCCAAGTCAAGAATCTTTCTACTACATGGTCTTTACCTTATTGTGCATCTGCTATATCTAACTGTATTCATTTTTTTATCTTTTTCATTAGAATAACTCTCTTGAGAACAAAGGGCTATTTATTATTGCAAAAAATCGATGCAAAAATGTGCTGTCTAATGCTAAGCTCCAGTATTCTCAGTTTACTAAATCCCATATCTTATCTCAGAAGTTAGGGTCTAGAGACTTTTGGAAAATTTTTAACAGCATCGTTAACAAGGGTAGATCTAACATTCCATCTTTTATTCATGGGAATGATCTTATTACCTCTTCCAAAGATAAGACCGAACTATTCGCAAAGAACTTTTCTTCTAATTTGATTTTTGAATCTTATGGCTATTTTCTTCTTTCCATTCCAATCAAACAAGTTAACCCATTGTTAGACATTCAAATTAATCCAGCTTCCATTGCTAAAGTTATATCTAAATTAAACTCTTCTATGGCTTGTGGTCTAAACAACATTCCTGTCACAGTCTTACAAAATGTTCTCCAGAACTCTTTTCAATTCTTACTAAACAATTTAATAAGTGTTTGACTGAGTTTTGTTTTTCTGCTTTCTGAAAAATGGCATCCTATGTTCTAATTTTCAAAAATGCCAGAGAACATTCTGAATCCTCTTCATCTGATCTTTCTGTAATAAGCAAGTCTTTAAGTTTTTGAACAACAAACTTTTCACCTCTTGAGTCAAATAACTTACTGTCAGACAGTCAATACGGTTTCCAATCCTCTCGCTCTTTGGCTAAAAGATTTTATCGTGCATTAAATGGAGGCGGATAGGCTAGGGCTATTGCTTATGACATATCTAAAGCTTTCAAAAAAGTTGAGCATGCTGGTCTTTTTCATTAGCTTGCTTCATCTGGTGAATCTGGGAAAGTTTTTGAGATTATCAAATCATTTTTATCTAATCGCTTTAAGTTTTCTGTATTTCCAGTAACTTCTGGGGTAAAATCGATTATAATTTAAGAAAAAAAAAAATTATTAATTTAGCAATCGATTGTATATGGAAACCATATACAATCAATTGCTATATTAAAAACTGCTAAGGTTGCTTCTTTTTATTGGGCTTGCCATTTTCCTACTCTTGATTTCATTCTTTACCTCGACAAATTTCTTATTCGTCCCTGTATGGAATACTGTTGTCATATTTGGGCTGATTCTTCTAATGATGATCTTTCTCTTCAAAACAAAGCCAAAAAATGCATTTTAAACGTAGTTGGACCCGCTTTATCTTCAAAGTTTGAGCCTTTATCCCATTGTCTTAAAGTTGCATCTCTTTCTCTTTTCAACAAATACTATCATGGTCACTGCTCAAAGGAGCTATCATCTCTATTTTTATCAACTAAAACTCATTATCGCTTGACCTGTTATTCAGCAAAGTCTCATTTTATTTACTGTATCTATCCCTGCATGCTCTAAAAATATTTATTTGTCTAATTTTTTTCCATGCATTTCAATCCTTTAAAACTGTCTCCCATCTTCATATTTTCCTGACTCATACAACCTACAACTTTTTAAGTCTTTTGTCAATCATTTCCTTGCTTTATAACTCTATTTTTTTTTTCTACTAACTCCCAACTTTTTAATGGTTGCATATAGTTGAGAGTGAATCAAAACAATAAAAAATTTACTTTATAACCAATATGGCTAGGAGTTAATTTTGTCTCTGGTCTAATGCAGATATAAAGATATTTACATTATATACAAACTTCACACCATACAAACTCACACCATACACAAACTTCAAACCATACACAAACTCACACCATAGACAAACTTCACATCATACACAAACATCACACCATACACAAACTTCACACCATACACAAACTCTTTTTCAAGACTAGAACTCTGAGAATTCTAAAATGTTTTGTGAAAACTAAAAAAAAAAAAAAAAATTAAATTACACAAGAATTGAACCTGACATTTCGAAAAGGACTTAAGTCCAAAACTTTTTAACTTTTAAATTTATAAACTAAGTAGTTTATAAATTTAAATTAAAAAAATTTCTGCATGATTTATGTTTTTTTTATAAAAAGTAAAAGTTACATAAGTTATATATGTTCTTTATTTATCTACTTCTATGTTTAGTTTCTTTGCCAGTGTAGACATAATTTTAATAAAAATAATGTTTTTGTTGATTTTGAAAAGTTTTAATAAATGGACTTTTGCCCTTTTCGAAATGACAGGTTCAATTGTAATAAATAAAAAATAAAAAAAATAAATAAATAAATTCTTAAAAATAAAATGCATTAAAAAAATCTCCATAAGCATTTTCTGATATCACAATTCTAAAATCTAAAATATATTATTTTATCTTTTAAAGACATAAATTTCAAAGATTATAATGCTTTTTAAGGATTAAATGTTTAAGAAAATTTTTTATTAGTTTATCAACTGTTTATCTCATCCGAAATGAGAGGAAAAAAAAAAGAATTGAAAAAATCTACACTTTATTTTGATCTCTTTTTTACAATCATTATGACTTGCCCATAGGTTATAAAGAACAAAAAACAACATAACATACATAACAAACTTATGTAACAAAAAACAACATAAATAACATAAAACCTTTTGCATTTCATTGCTATCATTACACAGTCGAAATTTTTGTTCATTGGTTTCACCAACAGCAACTTCATTAAATAAAATATTTTCATCTTTTACAAAAACACATCCATCATTTAGTGAATTTTGTGGAATAATATTTACTTTGCTTGGCATATTATCATTGTTTGAATTGTTTTCTTGTGAATCAACTTCTTGAATATTACCACTATAAAATGAATACTACCATATATGAAATGAATATTACTACTATATAATGAATATTAACAAATATAAAATAAATATTATTACTATAAAATGAATATTAACAAATATAAAATGAACATTACATAAATATTAAATGAATATTACCACTATAAAACGAATATTACCACTATAAAACTATAAAATGAATCAGTAAAAAAAAAAAAAAAAACTCAAAAGTTTTTCAAGTAAAAGAAAAATTTTAATGAAAAACTTTTGAAAGTTTTTCAGTAAATTTTTTTTTTTTAAATTATAAACTATTAAAGAGCTATAGCAATATATACAATATACCTTAATAAATAATAATTATAATAATAAAAACAATAATGATATTAATAGCAACAACAAAAAAAAAATCTAATAGCAATTATAATAATTATAATTATAACAACAACAAAAATTATTTGTTATTATTATATGGTAATAATAGCAAATAATTATTTTCATTTTATTATGTATTATTTAACCAGTTTATACTTACAAATTTTAAAAATTTAAAAAATAAGTTTAAAACCTTTTATATTATGGAAACTATTAAACAAATTTTGATATATTGGTAAATTTATAAAAAATTAAAAAAAATAAAACTAAATATACTTGATATCAGTGCTTTTAATAATGGAATGCAGAATTGGTTTAGCAGTTCCAATTTTCTTTAAAGAAATATCGTCATCACTGAGAACACCCTAAAATAGCAACAACAAAAAAAGTTAACAAAAAAATAATTTCTTTAAATATACAATTAAATAGTGTTGAGGTAAACAGATTGAATGTAGTGTTGAGGTGTGTAAACAGATTGAATGTAATGTTGAGGTGTGTAAACAGATTGAATGTAATGTTGAGGTGTGTAAACAGATTGAATGTAATGTTGAGGTGTGTAAACAGATTGAATGTAATGTTGAGGTGTGTAAACAGATTGAATGTAATGTTGAGGTGTGTAAACAGATTGAATGTGTTTATTAATGTATATTTTAAAAATACATGCTTTTTATGTATTTTTTTATTTTTTTACTTCTCCAAGGCTAAGATAGGCACTAAAGTTAGCAAAGCTACTTATTCTAAGTTTGGCAAGGTTCTATGGTTGGCAAGGCTATTCATTCTAAAGTTGGGGAGGCTACTTATTTTAAGGTTGACGAGGTTACTAATTCTAAGGTTGGGGAGGCATTCTATTTTGAATGTTATTACAAAAAACTCTCTTTATCCTTTTAATCAAAAACCACACACAACTAAATGTTAAAGATACTTAATTGTATTTGTTAATTTAATGCACAGTGAACTCATTTCTTTGCACAGAATGTTTGTTTTTTCAAGGAGTGTTTTTAAGTTTAAGGGTTGAAAGATGATTACAACAATTATTTAAAAAAATACCCTCTTAACTGTAGTACCTACTGTGGCAATCAGCGAACTTTAAATAAAAAAAACTTTGTGCAGAAACAAAAACAAATTGAATTTGTAAAGAAATCAAAAATTATTTAATATTGAATATTTTGTTTGATATTGTAGAGTTTTTTTTGCTTTGGCACTCTGACATACTAAAATAAGAGTTGTATGGGCTTCAGTACATACATCAACTGATATAAAAAGTACAAGCAAAGGAGTTGCAGCTACATTGACTGAGGGTTTGGATTGAGGCAGCATAAGATTCTTTCATTATTCTTAAAATTAAAAAAAAAAACCCTATTAAGTCAGCAAAAAAAGTTGACAAATATATACCTATATGCTCTATAGTAGATATGTATGCATGTGTGTGTTTATGGAAATCATTATGGAAATCCAAAAAACACACATTATGGAAATCCAAAAAAATAAATATAAACATAATGCTTTTGATACTAAAAAATGGAAAATAATGAAACAGGTTACTTTTTTTCAAAAAAAAAATTGGCTAAAAGTTAAGGATATATTCCAAATAATATATAAGAACAACAATACAAAAGCAAAACCATAAAAAAAAGCATTCTAATATTTTGTAGAACCTCCTTTCTCATGTAAGCATTGATTTACTCTCTTTGGCATTGAGTTTGCAAGATTTTGAGTTATTTCTTTAGGCACATTGTCAAGCAGTTTTCTTATTTCAGTTTTTAATTGTTCAACATTTAAAATTTGAATTTTTCCAAGATGATGATCTAACCAAGACCATAAATTTTCTATACAATTCAAGTCAGAGCTGTTAGCAGGCCAAGACATTATTGATATTTGGTTGTCTACAAACCATTGTTTGGATATTTTTGCTGTATGGCATGATGCACCATTTTGTTGATATATGATATTGCTGTTTTCTTATTTAAATATATCAATTGAGGGAAGAAGGCAATTATCTAAAATTTCAATATATCTATTAGCATTAAGTCGACCTTCAAATAATCAATAGCATCCAAGTCCTGCATGATTCATGCAGGCCCAAATGCCTATACTGCCACTACCTTGCTTAGTTTGTTTTAATGTACAATTTGAATCAAATCTCTCTTAAGGTGATTGCCATAGCATAACACAGCATTTTTGCATATCTATCTCAACATTCATTTCATCAGAGAATATAACATTTTGCCACTTGCAATAAGGCCAATTTTTACGTTGATTGCACCAGACAACCCTTGCTTTTTGCTGTTTCTTTGAAAATCTTGGCTTCTTGCATGCAGATTGCCACATATAATTATTTCTATGAAGAATTCTTCTAACAGTTCTTGAACTCACTTTTATTCCAGATGTATTGTTTAATTTATGGCAGAGAGCGTTTGATGATAACTTTCTGTCATGTTTCATTAAATGAATTAACAAACGTTCATCTTTTTCTGTTGTTACAGCTGGCCGACTAGATCGGCATCGGTCCTTAATCTCAACTGTTTCACTAAAATGTTTTGAAAAACATGCAACAACCGAATATGCAATAATTAACTCATTTGCTATTTGATGATGATTGGTTTTATATTAAAAAGTCCTTGGTTTTGAAAAAAAATTGATTCATAACATGTTTTTTCAGAGATTCTTGATCATGATTTTGGAGTTTCATGCTGTATTTCTTCGCTACTTTTTGTAACTTTTTTATTATTTAATTTACTTGTGTTTTTTTTAGTACTCAGCCCAAAAAGGACGACATTGACTAGCAAAATAAACCCTCAAATACTCAGAAGAATTTTTCAAAAAAACTTGGCTTTTATAGATTACATATTTACATTAAGTATGGGAATCTGGTGCTTTTAAAAGAGATACTATTCATCTGGAATACAGCACAAAACTTAGGCTTGGATAGGAATTGCGTGCAATTGCATGCTGTGCTTGACTACGGTTTTTTAAGTTTGTTAACTAAATAAATCACGAAATGGTTTTGAAAAATAATTGAATTTTTTATTAATTAAATAATTTAAGCAGCATTTTATTTAAAGGTAAAGTATTTGTTTGCGTTGCTATGACATCAGGTTTTACAGCTGTTAAAGTAAAGCTAAAGTATTTGTTCGTGTTGCTATGACATCAGGTTTTATAGCTGTTAACGTAAAGCTAAAGTAAATAAAATAAATTATATAATACTCTATAACAAATTGAATAACTTTTTCTTATTAAACAATCATTAAAAGTTGTTACTTCATATAAAGAAGAATCGCTTAAAAGATTGAAATTTTGATGTTATTAATTCTAAACATAAATGTAGTTTATTAAAATTTTCTCGTAAAGTTATAATTTTTTGAGCTTTGTTTTGGTTTTAGTAGAGCTTTATTTTATTAAGTTTTTTTTATCTTAAATTCTTTCCTTTTTTTAGTAAAATTTTTTTTGCAATTGTCTCTTTTTTTGCATATTTTTGAAATGTTCTAAAAACATCTAAAAAACCGAGGTCAAGTTGTTGCAACAAAATGTTTTATGCGTGGTCAAGAATAGTGTGCAATAGCCTGACCAAGCCTGAAAAATCAAAAATGTGTAACTGCCAAATGTGTAATTGTCAAGAATAAAGAATAAGAAGAATAAGTAGCAACTGAACTTTTGCTAAAAAACACTTTTTTTAAGAATGCATTTCTTTGTGCTTGTGATTCAAAAATCTTTTGGATTAATAAATTTTTTTTTTGTTTTTTTTGTTTTGTTTTAAATTGCTAGATTACATGAATGCTGTTATTTATGAAGAATTGGATAATTGGAACAGGATTTATGTCTATTTTATGAAAAAAATATATTTTGATTATTATTATATTTTTTATTTTGATAAAAGTAATAAAATGGGCATAACTTTTTTAGAGCTCCTAAAATAATTTTGAAAATTCGTGAAAAATACATAAACTCTGGTACAAAAATTTTCTCTTAAATTTTTTTAAACCTAAAGATATTTAGTCTATATGATCAATCAATCAATCCTATCTATCTATCTATCTATCTATATATAAACATACTTTCTTCGTTTATTTTTTCTTTATCTGATGAGTTTTTACAGACACATATTTTTAGAATGTTAAAAAATTTCCAATAAAAATAATTAAAGGAACAACCTTTCCAACAAGTTCTATCCTATGTTTTTTAGAAAGATGATTTCCTTCATACATTATCTAAAAAAGAGTTAAAAAATATATTTTAATAATGAATTCTTATAATACTATCATATATATATATATATATATATATATATATATATATATATATATATATATATATATATATATATATATATATATATATATATATATATATATATATATATATATATATATATATTCGGTATGAACCTGACAGTGTCTGAGGGCGGCATTTTTTTGCCAACCTAGTTTTTATGTTGATGAGGTGAAAATATTCCTTTTCTAAAATAATACTTTTTTATGAAATATATCTACATGATGAAAAGTGCTTTTTTATGAAATATTTATATACATATGTCTATAAGCTTTTTTTGAGTTTTATAAATGTCTCAATATTAATTGGGGAACAACTACTGCCATATGCAATTTACCGCAAAAAATGAACATTTTATTTAAATTCTGATTTAAAAATTAAGATAAAAGCAGCAAAACAAATGTTTGTTTAATTTATAAATAAAATAATCAAAATAAATAAAAAAAAGAACTTATTATTTTAATTCTAAATAAAATAATTGAAATAAAAACAAGCGCTTCATTTACTTTCTAAACAAATTAATTAAAAAAACAACAACAGCAAAACAAAGATTAAATTTAAATTCTAAATAAAATAAAAACCAAAAAGTAAATGTTTTACATTAATTCTAAATAAAATAATAGAAGGAAGAAAATAAAAAAAAACAACAACTGAGAAACCAAAGTTTTATTCAAATTTTTAATAAAAAATAGGTAAAATAAAAATGGCAAATGGAACGTTTATTTTAAATTCTAAATATATACTTTTTATTTAAATTGAAAACAAATTAAACAAATTATTTTCTTAATTCTAAACAAAATAATATACTTATGCTAGTTAATAAATATTTAAATAAAATAATTAATATTAATGTTTATTTAAATTCGTAATAAAATGCATTCAGTTTTAAAAATGTCAGCAAAAATGATATTTGTTTTTCTGTCAATTTTATGCTAAACATTCTCGCGTTTGTCAATTTGTCAAACTCAATTTCTTAATTTTGTGCTGATCTGATGCTGACCTAAAATGGTCAGCATCAGATCAGCACAAACTTATTTAAATCTTATTTTTAATAATTTCAAGGGTTTTCAAAAAGTAAAATTTTTTTCATTAAAAATTATCACAACTATTTGAGAAAAACGTGGCTTAAATAAATAAAATATTTCATAACTTTGTATTTATTTAAGCCACCATAACTTCAAAAGAAATATATACAAAAACTCATAAATTATTTTTTTTAAGAAACTTATACTTTTTTAATGAAATTTTATGAATGTTGGGGAAGGAGGGGGCATTTGATACCCAACCCCCACACCTCCACCGTAGAATCTGGTCATCATATCTTTAAAGTATTGACAAATACCACCCAGGTATAATCTATTTCAGTATAACTTCACACCGCTTATATATGTATGTATGTATGTATGTATGTATGTATGTATGTATGTATGTATGTATGTATGTATGTATGTATGTATGTATGTATGTATGTATGTATGTATGTATGTATGTATATATATATATATATATATATATATATATATATATATATATATATATATATATATATATGGGGTCAGACTACCCTCCTTGAGCTAACCTTGCCCCTTTAAATTTGTTCTTTTTACAGGTTTTTAACACCAACGATTTACAGGTTTTCAACACCAACACAATAGGTTTTAAATTGGAACTTTTTGGAATTATTTTTATCATCCTAGAAGATATCTACTACCAGCCAAAAGACCCAAATAAGATCTACAAGCAATTTTACTTTATCATTTTAGATTTTTTGTTATTTTAGATTTTGCGGTTTTGGTGAGCCTCGGCAAAAGGTTTGAACCAACCGAAACTACTCACCATTAAAAAAGAGTAGAATTTGTAATATGATCAAATAACACTAAATGCAGTATCAAGTACATCAAAAGCATCTACTATGACAATTTTCCTAATTATCAAAGGACTTTTTCAAAAGGATCCTTTTCATTGATATAAAAAAAAAAATTCAATCAGCTCATCAACAAATCATCAGATTTTATTTGTTGAACAAATTTTACTTTTTGCCCCCTTTGAAAGTTTGAGTATTCTACATCCATGTATACCCAGGGTTATGACTTTTTTGTGACTCCATATTCTTGAGTCTGGACCTGTGTCTGGATAAATTGATGAATATTTGTACAAAAGTAACGAATAAAAACATAAATTTAAATTTCTTGTTGAAAAAGATCACCCACAAACCAAAAATTTGGATTTACCATATATGGGTATGGATAAAGTTTTGTATGGAAACAATTTTATGATCGTTATTTTTTAATTCTAATTTTTTAAGCATTTAACAGTTTATTGTTACATCACAACACTCTGAAATAAAATTAATATAAAATTGCAAACACTCTGAATTAAAATTAATATAAAGATAGATATAAAGATAGCAACCAACAATTTAAACTTGGAGTGGTATCCTGCTGTTATCTTCAAGTGATTGTTCTTCTAGTAGAACACTTCTTTTTTTCCCATGTGACTAAAATCCTACAAGATTTTTTATTTAGTCTTCTTTCTTTTAGTTGTGGAAGCACTATTATTATACAACATTATAATTTAAGATAATACTTGAATATATTTCTGAAAGGCAATAATAATAAACAAACGTGCTATTGCACTTCTATATTATTTGACTGCCATCAAGCAAATACAGATTCATATATAATTATTAGCGATGCTCAATCAGGCAGCTTGTAGTCTAAATCTTACTAATTTCCATAAACTTCCAGAAGACTCCGGATTTCTAGAAAGTTACAGAGATTTCTAAAAACATCCATAACAGTCCAGAAAATTTCAGAAAGTTTCATAAGATTCAAGAAAATTCTAGGCTTCAGAAAGTCATAATGCTACTACCTGAAAAATTTACTTTTTAAGCAACTTCTATAAGTTATGACTATGGTTAAAAAATCCTACCAATAAATGCAAAAATTCATAAATTAATTTTTTCTTAAAAAACTTTCCTTTGTATATAAAAAATTTTACAATAAGAGAAAAATAATAAAACCTCAAAATCCCAGAACTGTGAGTAAACACCCAATGATCGAGGATGAAATGAAACTGATAGCTAAAAAAAGTATATCAAAGATAAATTAAAAAAAAATCAACCAATCAAAAGTTATAACTGCTTGCTTTTTTATAATAGCATTTTTTAAAAATTCACAACAGAATTTTCTGTTGTGAGCAACTGTTGTATTTTCCAATGTATATGTATACATATGAATAATATGTGTATATACATATATATGTGAACATATATGTATATATATGTTTATTTTTAATAAAACAGTAAATTAAAATAACAATTATTATTATTATAATTAAAATTATATTAAAATAAGTAACTTAAGAAAAATAATAAAATATGCAAAAAGAACAAATTAAATAATTTAATAAGAAAAATATAAAAAACAATGTAATAAAAAACAACAACTTGAAACCTAAGAAAACCTCTAAACCTGAATTGTTTGGTATTCACTAAGCTTTCCAGAATGTTTAGCAAAACGAAAAGCAGAGTAAGTGGTTCGCAAAATTTCACCTCTTCCATTTGTGCTTTTAAAATATGGAGGAGCAATTGATGACAAAATCCATCTGCATGGTTTTGAAAAAAGGCTTTGTACAGAGATAAGAGATTCTAGCAGGAAAAAAAAAAAAACATAGCAGTTACATAACGGTAAGTAAAAAATTTGGTGTTACAGGCTTGAGCAAATATTTTCGAAACGTCGCTCTTTTTTTAATAAAATTAAGTGACATTTTTTGTATAAAGCAACAACTTACTATTAATAATTTTTAAATTAGGAAACAAATGTTCTTTGATTTATCAAAGAGTATATATAATTTTTATTTATATATTTATGTCTGGATTGAGGAGGTAGGGGGGGGGGGAATAGAAGGACTATAGCCTCGAGACTCACAATGTTGGGGGCCACGAAATAGTCAAGAGGACCATTCGGTATTTTTTTTAGTCATTTTTACGCTGTGGCACATAAAAAAGGCCTCCAAAATAATGCAGTCCCTGGCCCTGAAAAGTTCAACAAGATTCAACCAATAAAACTAACGCTAGATGATTTATTTATAAATAAAAATGTTTTTTCGATAACTGTTTTATGCTTCGCGTAGTTTGAAAAGTTTAACACATTTGAAACAATTTTTCTTAGTAAGATGAAATAATTAAATCATTGAGTTACTGTAGAAATTCAATTAGCTAAATAGAAATTAACTAAAAATGTTAAATTACTATATGAGGAGGAAGCGGAACTGCTTCACAATAACACTGAAGATGTTTAATGAGTGGGTTTTATAATTTTAAGAAAAAAGTAACTTTAAGTTTAAGTATAACGAGTTTGTAAGAATGGCTGAAGCAAAAATAATTGAAGTTAGTAAACCAATTTCTAAGAACTTAAAAATTTTTCTTTCTTGGGGGAAAGAATCAGTTATTGTGTACACTAAGGAAAATTGATAAGTGGTTAAAATTATTTGTATTAACTTTGATGATTATTAATAATTTCATTGAAAATGCAGTTATTATTGAAAGTATTTTTGTTTACAAAATCAATCGCACAAATTGCTTTAAAAGATTACATTTGAATAAAATACACATACATAAAATTGAATGCACAAAAAATACATACATAAAAATACATTGCATAAAAAATAAATTACATACATAAAAAATACATCCCTTATATAAAATAAGAATATACTAATAAAATCTATAATATATTTACAAAACGTTGACAAGTTAAAAAATATAAATTTAAAACATTTATTTTTGTAAACAAATAATGTTAGTTTAAAACATTTATAGCTTTGTAGATGTGGCTCCGAAAATTAAAATAATAGTTTGTTTGATAGTATATTCTTAAAACAATTTATGCTAGAAATCTCAACAAAAACATAACAAAACTCAAACAATACAATTTTTTTTTAATATTTCAACAGAATACTCTAAAAATTTCAGTTAGTATTTTTTGAACCAATAGAATTAGTTGTTCGTAGATTTGGCGGGTTTTTTGTGTTCGCAAATATTCTTTTTTTATTTTCCCCACAAAGATGTTTGAGAACATTCTAGTTTATGTATGTTTCCATGTATGTCCGTAAAACAAAATATTTTAAAATTTACAATAAAATAATGAATTTAATTAATGAAACATACATAAATTTAAATGTTCTCAAAATGACTAAAAAATCTGGCCGGTTTGTCGAAATTAAATATTATTTCCGTGGTCAGTTATTGAGTGCGATCGGACCCGCTTCCCGACCTAGCCTGGTGTTATGTTTATTGTTAAGTAGTAGAAAATATGTCTAAAGTGTTATGTTCCCTAAACTATTTGTATATTAGTAAATAAAAAAAAAGCATTACGTTACATTATAATTAAAAGCGTTATATATATGTATATATATATATATATATATGATATATATATATATATATATATATATATATATATATATATATATATATATATATATATATATATATATATATATATATATGTATATATATATTTATAACGTTATATATATATATATATATATATATATATATATAACGCTATATATATATATATATATATATATATATATATATATATATATATATATATATATAACTTTATATATATATATATATAACGTTATATATATATATATAAAATGTTATATATATATTTATATTTATAAATATATTTTTATATATATATATATATATATATATATATATATATATATATATATATATATATATAACGTTATATATATATATAACGTTATATATATATATATATATATATATATATATATATATATATATATATATATATATATATATATATATATATATATAAGTTTTTGTCGTCAAAAACATTATGTTTTACGTTAAGTTTAAACAGTCGAGTTAAATTATGTATTAATATGACAAAAATTTTTGTAAAAAAGGTGGAAATTTTCGCAAATTGTTTTTTTTTGTTATAAGAGATTTTTTAATAAGAGTGCTAAAACAGCTTTTATATTGGCATTGTTTTATTTATTATTATTTTGGTTACTGAGGCTCATATTTTAATATGGATTATTATATGCTAATGTTATTGGTATCTATTGAATGTTTTTAATAATATATGCAAAAGATTATTAAATGTTACATTTTTACTTTTAAAGTTTTGAATAATGATGCTTAGTTAAAGCATATTTTAATTTTAAATTTGTGTAATGTAAGTTAAAACTACATGCATTTACTTAAGTTCTGGCGCTTTTACATTAACAAAATCAATTATGCCATTAAGTAATTCTTATTTCATCAAGTTGGTTTGACAAGGTTTTAACTGAAACTTTTTAAATTTTGTAAAAAAAATCTTTTTTTTTACTGTTAATTAAAATTATTTATATTATTGTTTTTTTATTTGTTTATGTATTCTTATTTTGGTTGACATATAAATATACATAAATAAAAATAAATTATATAAATATTTTTATTTAGACATTAAAAAACAGTTGGAACCTTTTTTATTTTTGTTTTAGTAAAACAAATCGCTTGTAAATGCAATCAAGAGAGGTTCATCCATAAAACCTCCTATATTTATATTATAGCCTCCTATATTATAGCCACCCTATTTTTGTCAATTCTTAACCCTTTCCCTCCTGTCACAAATGATCACATGTACCTAAACACTAAACTGTAATACCAGTTTTTACGTCAAAATTTTTTAAAAAGATTTTAATGTAAATACTTTGCAGAATTTAAAAAACTCAACATAATGAAAATAACGCAATACGCATAAACATAAGAAGTGTATGTAAAAACTTCAACAAACCAAATATTTTCTTATTTAAACGACTCAAATAAGTACTGATAAAGTTGTAATACTAAAATAATTTTAAGTTGTTCTTGGTTGTGCGGAATAACTGTTTTCAGTTTGATAACTTGAAAAAATATGAAAAATTATGAAAAATCAATCAGGAAAAGTGGCACCAGTTTTTTAAAACTTCATTTTTTAATTACTTTTAATGAATGAGTTCAATACTTTTGCAACTCTTTTGTTATGTAACTCTTAATTATAGATATAAAAAATCCACAATAATAATCGCTAGGTAACGTAAACAATGAAAAGTTAAATAAATATATTATCAAAAAAAAAAAAAATAGTTTACTTTCCTTAACTGGTCACCTCTGATAAATTTTTTTATATTTTTAAAATTGGTAAGAATTCTCAACATCTTGTGAACATTTCTAATACAAACTTTACTGATACACTTTACTGATTGGCAGAAATCTGACCTTAAAGTTGAGGCAATTTTTTTACCTTGTTTTACGTGTAACGTAAGTTAAGGGGCATTTCCAGTAATAAGTTTGCCCTCTTTTGGCCAGACTCAAAACTTTTTAGCTTATTTTATTCTTTAGACTAACAGCTTTCATACAAAATAGCTAAAATTTATTCATATATTTTATAAATAAATTGTTGCGCGTGTAACATAAGTTAAAAACGGAACTGCCCATATATATATATATATATATATATATATATATATATATATATATATATATATATATATATATATATATATATATATATATATATATATATATATTTATATATATATATATATATATATATATATATATATATATATATATATATATATATATATATATATATATATATATATATATATATATATATATATACATATTTTATATAATATTTACATACATAAAAATACACACATAAAAATAAAATAAAAATAAGAAGAGCAGTGAAAAATATAAAAATATTTTTCTATAGCATACCATCACTCATATTAACATTAGTATTGTTAAATTCAAGAATACATGGTGAAATAATAACAACAGGTTCTAACTCTTTGATGTTTTGATGCTGGTGTGGTATGAAAGAGACATCTTGTACTTCAAGGGGATTCATCTCTGTAGAAGATATATATGGAGAAAGATCATTGATAACATCATTTCGAATGTAAACTTTTACTTCCTAAAAAGAATTTAAAATAAGAATACAAAAAAAAAAAATTATTTATATAAAAACTGAGCTTACTTGGGACCTGAGGAGTAGTTAAATTTTGGGGCTCTTTACACACATCTGAATGCCCAATAGTAAAAAAAAATTCAGTTGAGTTGATTTAAGATATTTCAACAAATGGACGGTGGTACACCATTTCTGATTTTCTTAATTTTTACATATTGTTAAATTTAAAATCTCTTAAGTGTAATGGTTTAGATATTAGCCTTATAAACATTCAGAAAATTAATAGGGAACCATTTATCTTTTTAGATGAAAACGAACAAAAGTTTAAATTCTAAACATTTTCTTCAAAACATCAATTTATTTGACAGAGTTAGAGAATGCTCAAATACTGAATGATACGAATGATCTCTCTCCTATCGGAATTTTTAGAAAAATTAAATCACAAAACTTTTACCAAAATGATAAAATTTATATGTTTAATTTTATATGTTTAAAAACGCTGTTTTTGAAAATAGGAACAACATTTGCCATTTTCTATGAGGCAGGAAAACAAAAATTATTAAAAACTTGTTAAAAGTTTAGAGACTATTGAGATTTCTGAAGAATTAAAAGACTGGAGACTAGAATTTCTGAAGAATTGAAAGACTGGAGACTAGAATTTCTGGAGAATTGAAAGACAATGAAGTTGACTATGAATGGGAATGGGAATAATGGGATAATGTTTAAAATAGATGGTGTAATATATGGATAAAATAATAAATTAATAATTCCAGAATGGTATTGTTATAATCCTGAGTAGCTAATGGTGGTCTATATAAACATCCAATTAGTACTTTTTTATTTTTTTTTATTTAATTCACCTCCTTAAGGCCGAGAAGGCCACTACAGACAAGGAGGCTACTTATTTGTGGTTATAACCCTTTCTCAACTCTATAACTTCGAAACACGAACAAGGCTGATGCGCAGAGAAATGAGTTGATTACCAAAACATAAACAATTATCAATTACATGAATGGGATAATGGGAAATTGTATCGATGTTTTATTTATGTTTACTGGGGCCGATGTTAAAAACAAAAAAACAAAGTTTTTACCACACGTAGGTTTTGCATAAAAAGCAAAAAAAAAAAAAATAATAATAATCCATTGCTATAAATATTGTTATAAGTGTATATATATATATATATATATATATATATATATATATATATATATATATATATATATATATATATATATATATATATATATATATATATATATATATATATATATATATATTAAAAATAATACATATATTTTTATTTATTTACACAATATGTATATATTTTTATAATAACATTCATAACAATTTATTGTTCTTTCTTTCTTTTTTTTTTTTCCTTCGAGTGGTGCGCAAAAAATTTAGAGTTTTACAGTAAAAACTTCTTTTTTTTGTTTATAGCATTGGCCCCGGAGTTTTCCACAATTGATATACTATCTAAATATTTATTTTTAAGCCACTTAATATCTGTCAAATGAAACTGACAATACCGACTCTCACTTGGTATAAATACGTTTGTTTTAATCAATTATTCCTTCATTTGAAATTTGACCTAATAAACACAGTGGAGGGTTTCGAATAATTCATTCAACTGTTGATGTCCTTTAAAAAAATTTAAATAACCGCTGAGTTATTTAAAAATGCTGCCATTTTTGGTGTGAAAATAACAAGTTGAAAATGTTTTTAAAGAGTTTAATGGTCTAATATGCTGTAAATCTTGTGTAATTGTGAAATTTTTTTTTTGTGAATAATTAAAAAAATTACACGCATCTTATGATAGCGAAGTTTTGGAAATTTTAGGCAAATGGACTATATATATATATATATATATATATATATATATATATATATATATATATATATATATATATATATATATATATATATATATATATATATATATATATATATACTTGAGTTTTAAATTGCAACAAGCTGTTTATTTTTTGCAGAAAGTAGTAGCTAATCAGAAAACTTGTAAAGACTTGTGAACGTATAGAAAATACTATAACTCTATTATGATAAAAGATAAAGTTAATAAAAATATTTTATAAACAGAACTATCCAGAAAATTGTTATAGAAAAAATGAGAAACTTGTTGAAAGAAAAAAAAAAAAAGGTTTTAAAGTAGTCAATTTTTATCATTCATAAATTGAGGGTAGTTACTGTGTTGTGTTAATAAGGCTATAATTTCTATTTCTAATTACAATTTATAAGGCTATAAATTCTTAAATTTTGATGTCTGAAACTTTAAATTTAACCTATTTAAAGAATGATAAGAATATATAAAAATATGTCCCACAAAATTTTCTTCAAGTTGGTTGAAAATTTATGAACTGTCCCTATTACCAAAAAAAATACTTGTAACAGAAACTGTAAGACAAATAACTTTGAATTTTTTTTTTAAATAACATTATACAATAAAATTAGAAAGTAAAATTTGTTATCAATAAGAAGTGTTCGCTGTTTTGCTGCTGAACATAAATAAACTTTAATTTTGGTAAAAGAACTTTTCTGTTCATGTACAAATGTAAAAACTATTTGAAAACAAATATTTCTCTTTTTTCTTCAAATATTTCTTCTTTTTTCTCTTTATTCTTTCTCTTTTCTACAAATACTATAATGGGGGCACTGCTCTAAAGAGCTAGTGTCTCTTGTGCCATCTACTAAAATTCATTTTCGTGTTACTCGTCATTCAATTAAGTCTCACACTTTTTCTGTTACTGTTCCTAAGTGCTTTAAAAACTCTTATTCATCTAGTTTTTTTTCCTCGAACATCAGTTCTTTGGAATTCGCTTCCTTCATCTTGCTTTCCTGATTCATATAATTTGCAACCTTTTAAGTCGTCTGTCAATCGTTATCTTGCTCTACAATCTTCATCTTTTCTCTTCCAGTAACTTCCAACACTAATTGGTGGTTGCTTGCAGCCTTGTTGAGAGCGAAGATGTTAAAAAAAAAAAAAAATTTGACTAAGTTAATTTCTTAATTTCAATTCAATTACAAACAAAAATAAATGCAACTTTTTCACTTTCAAAAACAATTATCAAGACATTACATATTTTGTAATAAATTTCTTTTTTTAAAGAGAAACAATTTCAGCATGTTTTTTTAGAAAAAGTTATCATAATGCTCTTTTGTTTCTGATTCCAATCATTACAGAACTTTGTACTAGATAATTAACAATGTAAATTCAAAAGATTGTAAACATACAATCAGATCAAAAGCTTCTAAATGATTGGATGGCTTTATTTATAACAAGAGCAAGTAAATTAAAAAATCCTAAATAATTTTTAGATAATGAATAAAATATTGATTCAGACTCATAATTTAGTAGTTGATATCAAATGTACAAATGTAGTAAAAACATATTCATATATATTTTGACCCTTACAATATCAGTCCCCATTATTTTTTTAACAGTGCTGTTAGAAAGTCTTTGAAAATACCTATCATTGTTTATTTCAATTAATTCCTTCCGTAATAAATATCTTTCTTAGTATTTAATGTTGCCTTGTTTTTGTTTTTTTTGCAACAGATCATAAGAAATTTTTGGTTCCAATTTGTTGGTCCATTATTCTCAAATTACTAATTTTTTTATCTCAGAAGTTAGGTTCTAGAGACTTTTGGATAATTTTTATCAAAAAGGAAAACATTTTATGTTTTCCTTTTTGATAAAAATTGAGATCTCATTTATTGATCTTACACTATTCTTACACTATTTTACACTGATCTTACACTATTTTGTACACTATTCTGCAGCACACTATTGCACAATATTCTACACCACACTTTTGTACACTATTCTGCAGCACACTATTGCACAATATTCTACAGCACACTATTACACACTATTCTGCAGCACACTATTCTGCAGCACACTATTGCACAATATTCTACAGCACACTATTACACACTATTCTGCAGCACACTATTGCACACTATTCTACAGAACACTAGTGCACACTATTCTACAACAAACTATTGCACACTACTGGTAAGCTCTTTAATAAATAAACTTCTAATATCTCATATTGAGTTCAACAACTTTTTATTCAATCATAATAATCTCAATCATAATCATGTGATCACTTTTTTTCAAGTGTAATTGGTTGATTGCAACCAATACTCCAGAGTATTTAAAACCAAGAGTTTTTCTTTTCTTTGTTTAGATTTCTTGAGGCTTTTAACTTTCAAAGGCCATTTTTCAATATATATATATATATATATATATATATATATATATATATATATATATATATATATATATATATATATATATATATATATATATATATATATAATTATTTTTAAAAATAGCACAATATTTTTTATTAACCCTAACATGTTTCATAAAATTTATTTATATTTTCATAAGAATATTTTACAATAATAAAACTCTGAAATAAATATTAAAAAATAGAAGTCTTTACAGAGAAATAATAAGAAAATTACTGCAAAACTATGTTGATGATTAACATCTTTGTTTTAATCTCCAAATATGTCTTGTAAAAATAGTTTACAAGGTATTACAAGACCTTGTCTAAATAGGCAGTAAATATGTAGTTAATACATAGTTAATACCGTAGTTATTAACTACATATTAATATGTCCTACTAAGCTGCAGATGTTATGAAAAAAAAATTATGGTCTAAAAACTTAATAATGAAAAAAATTTAATAAGACAGTCCTGCTACTCCACAAGGTGGTGCTGTCGAGGCAAAAAAAAAAAAAAATTCTTATACTGATTACAATTAATCAACACTTTTCAAGCGGATTCTCTAAATAAACGTAGGTTTATTGCATAGAAATAAAGTTGCACTTATATATAAACACATATGCTATATGCAAATCTAAAAAATCCACATATATAACGTTTTATACAGGATTGTGTGTAATATAAGAAAAATTTTCTAATAATTACAAGATTTTTTTGCTCAAGCTGTTTTGTTTTGAATTTTCGTATTTAAATGCTATTTTATTTATGTTTTTGTATTTAAAAAATTGACAAGATTGAAAAAAACAAGAAACTTATTGCTTCATCCAAGTAGAAAATTTGAAACTTCAATTTTAGAATCTTGATAATTTCTGATTGTGAAAATTATGTCTTCTTGTTAGACCATTAAAAATGATAAATGCAGCTTTTTCGTAAATCGTTGAAGCCAAAATATTTTTTGTATGTGATATCATTTTGTGGCAAAAAATTAGAAAAAATAAACTATAAATCTAAATCAATTTAAATCAAAGTTGGACTTCTTTTTAACATAAATCAGCTGTTAAAGCCTAGATCAACTAGGCTCCGTACATTGTCATTGCACATGTACACAGTTATTAAATAAATAAATAAAATTTTATTTTAATTTTTTTAGAAAATTTTTTTTTATTAAAATACAGAGAATATATTTTTATGTTCTAATAAAGACAACATATAGTAATTACTATGTTATATAAATATATATAGTAGTTAAATTATTTTTTCAAAACTATTTATTAATTACTATTGCAATAAAAACAAACTCTTATTCGCGAAATGATATATCTGTACCAGTTTTATATCTTTTTGTGCAATTGTATGCACCATAATCAAAATGAATAAAAAATATAAGATAAATGCAAAAGCAAACTTGACATATAAAATATTTTTTTTGCTACTAACTGATGTCATTGCACGAAACATTTTTGGTTTAACTTTTAGATAAGTATTTTATAGCTAAGGCCGCATCTATAGTTTTTAATGGTCTAAAATCTTCTAAGTTTTCCATTTGTATAATGTTATGTATGTTGAGTTAGCAGGCAATATATGGAACAATTGCTTTTTGATTTTATAAATATAATATATTTATAAAATAAAAAAACTTTAAAATTTCATTTTAACAATTAGAAATATTTTCCTATATATATAAATATATAGGAAAGATTGAAAAATTTTCAAAATTCATTATGCGCTAAGGTCTTTAAACCCTCAAAATGAAATTGATGACAGTTCACTAAATCATTTAGCTAATGATATGCAATTAGGAGAAAAATAAACCTAATTACAAATCCCTTATAAGTTCTATGTATGCAGAAAAGGTGAGCATGTTAATTTTTTAGCTCTTGAAGCAATTTTTCAGAATGAATTATTTTACTAAAAAATATTGAAGTAAAGAAAGAATAAGTATAAAAATGATTGGTATAGAATAGATAAGCGTAGAAATGGTAGGTTTGGTAAAGACCCATATTTTACGGGTCCAGAAAGCTTGGATATATATAAGGAAAAAGTATAGAAATGGTCAGTGTCGAATAGACTTACAAAAACCTGTATTTTTTCAGGTCCGGTCAGCTAGTTTATTATCATTATTAAGAAAATCAATTTTTTAATTATATTTATTATTTAGAATATTAATATGTTTTAGATATTTAAAAACAATTTCTGATCACAAAATTTATTTATTAAGTAATACTTTATTATCTACTCTATTGTTACCTTTTGTTCATTGTTGCACTGAATGTATAAACTACCAGACCATGGAACATCTTCTGGTTGAGATAAAAATGAAGGTTTTATACCAATTCTAATGCCTAAACTACTTTTGGCTGCTATTTTTTCCTTGCATGGATTTATGATAAGTGTTTGAGCGGGCCATATGAATTCAAAGGAAAGATTAACATCAGAATAATTAATCAGCTGGAGCTTCACATTCTGATTTTTATTTGAAGCGTTCAAAATTAACTCAACAGGTTTTACTTCCCACAATATCTTTTTGTTGGTTTCAGCAATTTTAGAATCAGAAGTACCTAAACAAAGTACTTTGTGTTTTTAAGCATAATATTAACAAAATTCAAAATTTATTATTAATAAACAGCCCATGTAGCAACTTATACTTAAAAAAACAAAAAATGCTTTTAAAAACTGCACTTTTTTAGTGTTTTTCTATATATAATTCTATATATATGTTTTAAAAAATATTACTTTTATATAAAAAAATAATAATTACAATATATAATATTTACAATATAATAATATTTTACAATTATATTATATGTAATAAATACATCAATAACTTATGGATGTATGAAAAATTAAGGGTATCTAGAAATGGATAACTATTGATAATTGATAATTTTATAATTTAGTTGATAATTTGATACTTAACGATAATTTAGTTGATAATTTTCATTCAAATTATTAAATAATGTAATGAAAAATATTTAATTTTGTGCAAAACAACCATACTTTATTTTAAAACATACATGCATTTTTTTAAACATTTTTTTCAATTATAAACTAGGAAAATAAGCAAAATTATATTCATGAGTTTAATTTAGCTTTTTTGTACATGAAAATTTAGAGTTTCAGATCTCTCCAATAAGAAACTCAATTATAGTCATAACACCGGTTACGACTACAGATGCAACACCACAAAACAATAGAAATTCATCAATATTTTTTTCATAATAACTTGAATCTCAAACATCTTTTTATATTATGGTAACATTTATGATCATTTATCATGAAACTTATCTACCAAAAACTTGCATGATGCTACCAGATTACAACATCTCAAAAAGCAAACTACGCAACCATTTTTTGGTAAAAAGTTCAAAATAAATTTTAGTTGTGTTACGTTTTTACATATTTTCAGTATTGATATACTTGTTAAGCATTGATATACTTAAGAAGCATTGATACACTTGAGACATGTTGGTCACAACTAAATAAAGAAGAATTCCACCTGCAAGACAGCTATCCATAGGAACTAATTTAAACCTAAATGCATAGTATTGTTCTGTTTAAATCTACCAGCTCTTCTTACTTAAGAGATGGAGTAAAGGAAAAACCATAAGTTTCCATAATACACTTCTACCATAACCTGTTGTTAGCACCATTTTTAAACAAAATGCCAAGCACTAAAAAATAAAAATCCTGCATGACAACACAAACTATGACATGTTTAAAAACCCAAGTTTTCTTAGAGTAATCAAAAAATTGAGGACATCACAATATCGGTCATTCACAGTTGATGTTTGGCTTGTTAGCATAATTAAGCTGACTGGTAACTAAGATAATCAAAGCCTATACAAGTAGATTAAAAAAATAGTTGCTTCAATACTTTAAGAAGAGCATATAAAGATGTTTGAGAAACATCTTGCAGAGAAGCAAAAGCAAATTGTTAAATTAAAACATTTAATTAAATGATAATAATATGTAGTAAATAATAACAACATAATTTTTTTTTCCTTTTAATTTATTACTTCCTTAACCCTAACCCCTAAGTATTTTTTTATAAAGAATGTGTTACCCTTTCTAACCCCTAAGTATGTTTTATAAAGAATATGTTACCCTTTCTAACCCCTAAGTATGTTTTATAAAGAATGTGTTACCCTTTCTAACCCGTAAGTATGTTTTATAAAGAATGTATTACCCTTTTTTAAACTCAGCTTTTGAGCAGGAGTAAATTGGGTTATGACATCATTTAAGTTATTAAGGTGCTCTGAACTGTCATTAAATTGAGTTGTTGAAGCAAGTAAGGTAACATTGTTTATTGAAACGTTTCCAGCAAAAAAACTTTCCCAATCAATTATTCCTGAATAATCCAAATTATTATTAACCAATTCTTCTCCCAAAAAACCTTTATCTAAGCATGTTCCAAGTTCCAGTTTGAATGGTGTGATAAAATGTTTATCTTTTGATCGTTTTCTAAATGATTTGAGTTTGTATTAAATATTTGAAGAGATTATTTATAAATATATTCATTATATTTAATATATACTCTATGCATATATTTAAAATTTACAATATATAAAAGTTATGTTCCCATAAAAAATTACAGTTGTTATTTTAACATAAAACCATAAAAAAAGATAAGATGAAAAAAAAAATGAAAAAAAAAAAAAGAAAAAAAAAAGAAAAAAAAGATAAAAAAGAGAAGTAAACCTAATGCTAGAGAAAAAAACAATGGAAAAAAAAGTTCAAATGATTAATAGATGGTTTATATATGATAAATAGTAGATTGCATGGTAAATATAGGTTATCTAAGTAAAACTTTGACTATGTTTGTGTTGACTATTGAACTAAAATTTTGAATTTCAGCCAAATCATAAAAACAAAACAATTACAAAACAATTAACAACAAAAAATTTAAAAAATTAACAACCGTCACTGAACACTATTAAAATAAATTATAATTACTTGGAAAATAAAACATGACAAACCTGCTTTTCTTATACTGTTGCCTTAAAATTTCATCACCAGATACAATAATAAGATGTGCAAAGGCACCTTGAAACTCTTTTATTATGTCAACAACCATTGTCACTTGTTCGGTACAGTATTCTTTTAATATAAAATTATTTGGTGAAATGTCCATTTTACTTTCTGGGTATCTGATGGGTGATGTGCCAGTTTGAGATGTGCTATCTAAAACACCATATTCTACTACATAATTTTCTTTTTGGCAAAATACATTTATAAAATTAATTTCAAGATAAATATTCAAAATGAGTAAAACTTTAGAATCTGAAATACTTTATATAAAAAAAGGGTTTGTGGTCTATGAGTATTCCAAAAAGTTTAGGGTCAATGAAAATACTTTGCCTCAAGTCTAAAATGTGCTTTAAAATTTAAAAAAGATAAAAATAACTTTAATTTTTAATTAAATAATTTTTATAAAATTTTAAATGATTTTTATTTTCTTTATTTTAAATTTTAAAATTTTCCAGTAAATGAATAAAAATCTATTTACTGGAAATATTTTCTGAATGCAGAATACATGAAACTTTGAAGATCAAAAATTGTGAAAAAGTTTATACACTAACTACAATTTTAAAACAGGGAGACTAATCTCAGAAAAATTTGAAAATTTGTGTAACATGTCTTTTAAACCATATATAAATTGTAATTGCAAAGTTTTAAAAATAAAACAACGCTTGGGTGCAAAACTTATGCATAACTGAACCATAAGTCTTATAAGCAAAAAAAAAAATAATTCTTAAGACCAAAACGAGATTTTTATATTGTTATATTGCTATATTGTTAGGTAAATCTTTTTTTAAATAAATAGATATAAGGTACAAAGTAAGGATACAAAGTATCATCAAGGTACCACCCAGGGGTGTACCCTCCTGTTTTTTCCTAACTGAAATAGTTTTCATTTCTTACTTGAATCGTCCGCTATGATTATCAGTCACAATGAACCACAGTGACGGTCAGGATTTGAAGTCTCCCCACATCAGATTTTTTTTATGTATACTTAGTTGTATATATGAAAATGAATATTTAGTTAGTAAAAACCTGTAGGGTAATAGAAAAAATGTATGAAAATCAAAAAATAAAAATACAGTTTTTAGTTGAAAATATCCGCCATTTTCAATAAAATTGCTCTAATTTGCTAATCAAATACCGGCGTTTTTTGATTTTAAACCTTTTCTGGTGCACAAAGACTTGAGTTTTACTAAATGGCGGTCAACAATTTATGTTCTGTTTGTTTTAAAACCTTTGGTAAAAAGTCAGCAAAGCTTCATAAAATAACTAAAGCTATTGAAGAAAAAATAAAAACTTTGAGACTCAGCTCCTTATTTTTGTTGATTAATTGAATGATTTAATAAACCTTTATAAATTTAAAAAATTTTAAACAACTTGTTATATACAACAAGCTGTTAAAAACTCCTATATATATAGGAACTAATATGTCATTGATGTGTTTATTAATAATGTGTAATATTTTTTATATTACTAGTTTATATAGTTTTAGATTCATTTGTTTAGAAACTGTCAAGATATTAGAAGAACTTCAGATGTTTCAGAAATATCAAAAAATATTAACATTATTACTTCTGAGTTAAATGAAGATAAAAATGAAAGGATGTGCCTAAAATGTTGCGGAATTAAATCAGGCATTATTCATCTTTGTAATGATGTTCAAGCTGTGAAAAATTTAGTTAATGCAGCATATGCTTTGGAATCAGCAAGTGCAGAACGCGTCGCTTCAAGTATTTTAAAAACAAAATTGAAAAAGAAAAATATTTTTAGAGGTTAAAAATTCACAATTGCTACTCATGGGAAACCATTGACTATTGTAGCTGGAACTATGGGCAATAAATGTGATCGTGCTAATCTTAGTCAAGTGTCTTTTGGACAATTATCGAGTTTATAAAATGTTTGGAATTATCTCAGTGTAAAACCAAAAAAATGAGTTCCATATTTAGAAAAAGTTATGGTTTTCAAAATAGCATAGAAAGAAATATTATTGAAAAATTAGAGGCTTTAAAAGCTGAAATTAATGAATATTTTTCATGTAAAGAAAAAGAATTTTTTGAAGCTGACAATATAGTAAATAAATCAATGGTTTATATAAAGGATATTGATGAATTTATTCATAATATAATCACTGAAAGGAATATTGACCCTCTTTCTACAATTTTAAGAGTTGCTGTAAATTCTGGTCAAGGTTTTTTAAAGGTCACTATGAATCTTTTTAATCTGCATGACAAAACTAACAACCAACCTGATCTTGATGATGCTGGAGTTAAGTGTTGTTTTATTGTTGCTATTGTAGAAGGAGTGTGTGAACACAATGGAAATCTTAGAAAATACTCTTAATCTTCAAAATATCAAGTATTCAGTTGCATTTGATTTAAAGTGTGCAAACTCAATGTTTGGCATTACAAGCCATGCTGGAAAATATAGTTGTTTGTGGTGTGAAGGGGGGAGTCTTTTGGATGGTGGAGAAAAACGAACTCTTCGTTCCCTCGATTATCATTACACTAAATACATAGAAGCTGGAAAACCACATCAATCAAAGATGGCTGATTATAAAAAATGTTATTAATCCAAGACTATTATATCTTGAAGAGTATCCAGACACAATTATAGAAAATTTAGTTCCAGTACCTGAGTTGCATACATTAATGGGAATAGTTACAACTTTTGGAAAACTATTATCAAAAATCAGACCTGGCTTTGAAAAGTGGTTAAACTCAAATTACATATTTTTCTGAGGTTACCATGGCATTGGATTTGATGGCAACAATGCCAACAGACTTTTAGATAAGTTAGATGTTCTTGCTCATGATATTGCTAATCAAGGAAAGCTTGAATTATTGCCAGTAAATGAATGTTTGAGAATGTTTCAAGAAATAAAGCAAGCTACCTTTGGAGAAAAAATTATTGGTGATATTGAATCTGTAGTTTCCGAATTCAAGATGTCTTATGCTAATTTAATGGAATATATTAATACTTACTTTAATAATATTTCTTTAAATATACCATGAAATGTTCATATTGCAGTTAACCATATTGTACCATTTCTAAAAAGTACCAATACTGATAATGGACTTGGAATTTACTCTGAACAAGCAGGTGAATCTGTTCATCATGAGTTTAAAAAGACATGGATTAAATATAAGAGACAACAAAGCCACCCAGACTATGCTAAATGATTGAAGTCAAGTGTTATGGAATTTCAACATTTAGTAAATAGTTAACAAGTTTATTATTCAAATTAATATAATGTTGACCCACAACTATATCAAAACTGTTGTTTCTAAAGTATTTTAATAGCATGAAAGATTTTAATCAAATATAAAATATAATGTTATTTGTTTATTTTAAAGCTTAGTCTAGATATTTTTTACCTTAAATGCATTAATTACATTTTGTTGTTGTTGCTTTTATACCTACGTTTTCTTTTTATGTCTGAACACTTTTTAATGCTTTTATAATATGTACACAAGAACACAGTAAAAATTAGGTTTCTTCATAAAATTATGTGAAATATATGAACTTCGATAAAGTTAACCATGTACCGCCCCTCCCCTTTTTTTCTAAAGTTTAGATATGTAAAAATTTTATTCTAGCCATTCCTATGGAGGTTTTTAATACCTTTACCTAATTTAAATACTATGTTACTTCTTAATAAAAAAAAAAATTGGATGTGGGGAGACATCAAACCTGGCGGTTATTGTGGTTCACTGTGCAGTAGTCAGTATAATAGTTATTTTGGGGTATTTTTTCTTGGTTGAAAATAATGAAGAAAAAAAATTTAAACGTCTGACTATTAAAATACAACTAATGAAAAACTGCTTTATTAAAAGTAAATTGATTAATAAAAAAAAATATTGTTAAGTAAGTTACAAAAAGATATTGGTAAAAGGATAAAGATTGAATACAACTTTTAAAGATCATGATTTTTGTTGTAGTCGATATCTGTTTTATGTTGTTTCCTTTTTTCAGTCTTAACAAGGTTTCATTATGCGGAGCAAAATAAATCAAAAGCCATATCTGCAAAGAAACATTTTTTAAAAAAGAAAACTATTCTATTATTCTCTCTCAATCTTCAATCAAATTTAATTTAGTTTAATGTTTAAAAAATGTTTTTATTGTAATTCTTTATACTAAGTATTGAGAAGAAATGCGCTTTAAAATGCAACAACAACATTTAAAAATACAGTACATTCACACTTCGAAGTATTAAATCGCATGTTCGCATCTTTTTATTAAGTTTAGTAAAATTATATAACACAACGTATTGTACTTATAACGTATTAAACAAAGTGTATACTACTTTAAATGCTTTTTAAAGGTTTCTTTTAAATAATCACATAGTTTTTAAATAATCTTTCTGGTTCAAAATATGGTTTTATTAATAAACACTTCTTTGTAAGTAACAAACTATCTGGTCCTCCTGCTGGGCTACTGACAGACTTTTTTTAAATTTCGGTCGCCCTTTGATAAAACGAGTCATCCTGTGCCACCGGACAACCAAGAGGGTATACCATGTTACGAACAAATAAAGATATCATAACTCATATTTTAAATTTTTGAAAAGCTAACAACAAATATTTTTAAACTTTTTCATTCATAAACTGTTTAACTATATATATTTTTTTTGTAAATGTAATATTTACCTGAAAAACAATTAATTGACACAAATGCTGTACGTGATCCTTTATTTCGAACAATTATTGTTGCTGTTGCTTTCTTGCCACATTTAATTTGCCCTAAATCGATAAAGAGCTTATCATTCACACTCTTTGCTCCTTTTATTTCAAGACTGCTTGTTCCACCATACCCAGATAATGGAATTACAAACTTTGTAGAACTGTTGATAACACGGAGAACAAGAGAACTAGACACAAAATCTAACTTGGATGGAATGAAAAGAACATAGACAGGCTGCTCAGCTTGTGGCTTCAAAACTACTTCAAATCTGTTTAGTTCTTTAATTTCTAATTCATGACTGTGTTGAATTTGAAAACTTGAGTAGGCATCTGAAACAGCAATGCTGAGGTATAAAGCTTGCGTCTCAGAAGAATTTCGTAAAACAAGCTTTTGTTGCCGAGATTGTCCTATTTCAACTCCACCCCAATTAAGCGCTAATTTATTACACAGCAAAGAAGGAACCTCATTTCTACTAATAACATTGTTAAAACATGCTGTACCATGTAGAATCCATTCAAATTGATCACCATCAAGTAACAATGACACGACTAATTTCCTTCACCAAAACAATAACAATAATAAACAAAACAATAAAATTATAGTAAATAACAAACTGTTAAATTGTTGTCACAGAAAAATGTCATATAAAAATATCTATGATACAAAATACAATACCAGTAGTAGAAATATTATTAAAGAAATTTATACTTTTACTGATGTGGCCAACTTTGGCCTGCAATTAAAGACACATACCCTTTTACTGATGTAGCCTTCTTTGGTTTAAAAACAACTTTCAAATTTAATTCATTATCAGGTTTGATTTGAAGGCGCTCTGGAGTCACAGAGAATTCATCAAATGATTCAACTATTTTTGCTTCAATATCCATCAAAATAGTACCAGCATTTCGAAGAGGTATCATTCTAACTGCTGTTTCACCAACATTGCATGAAAATTCTATAACCTGTATAATGAATCACAAAAAAAAAAAAAAATTTTAATTATAAAAATAAAATAAAAATGCTTTGAATCTATATTAGTAAGTATATAAAATAATAATTAGTAAATAAAAAAGAAACATTTAAAACAAAAAAGTTTAATGCCTCATTATTAAAAGGAGATTAATGCTTTGTCTCATTTTCAAAAAGTGATGAATGCTTAGCCTCATCATCAAAAAGAGTTAAATGCTTAGCCTCATCATCAAAAAGAATTAAATGCTTAGCCTCATCATCAAAAAAAATTAAATGCTTAGCCTCATCATCAAAATAAGTTTAATGCTTAGCTTCATCATCAAACCATAAAAAATATTTTTATAAATCTGTAAGAAATATATTTGATATAACAAAATAAGAATTTAGTTTAAAAACTGTGTTATTTTTAAGTATAACAAAGTTAAAAAAAAACAATTTTTACACAGTATCGAGCAAAAAATTCAAGTATGAAGAAAAATTTATACTGTTTTTATGCAACATGTTTACAAGTGATATTGTGGTTTAACTATTGGGGTACAAAAAATTTATTTTTAAATTAAACATTAATTAAAAGTTACAAAATCAAGAAAAACAACAAAAATTTATTAAACTTTATATAATCATACAGATGGAATATATCAACACTTGAGACACAAAAGCTCTGTACTACACTTGAGACACAAATGCTCTGTACTACACTTGAGACACAAATGCTCTGTACTACACTTGAGACACAAAACTAAATTCCATACTTATAATATGATTCAAAACAAAATATAAGAGTACAGATTAAACCCACAAATTGCAAATGGGACTTAGGTGTTCACGTATTCAATTATCATGATTCAAATTTATTATTTTCAAAACACACTTTAATTCAAGTCAAAAAAGCAACACAAATAATAAAAAGAACATTTTCATCTTATTCATACTTATTTTTCTTCATAAAATTATTTTCAGCTCCAGTCCACCCACTACTTTTAGTTCCACTCTCACTTAGAACACTGTGGATCAATTTGTAACCCAATGATTCTTTTTATATACAAATAGCAAATAGAAAATGTATTAAGAAGAGCATTAAAACAAATAAAAGACTTAATACAGCGATACAGACTAATTCTATTTTTGTTAAATTTATATATATATATATATATATATATATATATTTACAAATATTATTATTTATACAATAAGCTGAATAGGCATAAATCACCTGTTATCCTGGTTATATATAAAACATGCGAGGAGCAGCACTGCTCACATGTTCTACCTATTTGTGAGTTGATATGACAGCACTCCTTGCATGTTTGTCAGTTATGTATGTAAACAGTAAAAAAAATAAAAAATAAAAACATTCAGAATATTTTTATTTTTACTAAAAAAATACAAAACTTTCTAGTCTATAAAGTTGTGCTTTTGTGGTTTTTTAAAAAATGATAAAATTTAACTAGTTTCGTCAATTAAATTTAATGGTTTTTACATAAACTGTACTTGAATTTGTCATTTTCACAGAAAAAGAATCATTAAGAGTTGTTAATTCATTGATGTTTCGATATGTGTTTTTGTTAACAACAAAACTTATTGATACATCAATGAATCAATAGACCAATACATCACTATTATATTCACTCTGCCCAGTGCTGACATCAAAATCCCATTTGAAATAAAATTTCAAACTTGCTACACCATCTGCTAAGTTAGTTCTCTGTACCAGTCTTCTGAAAGTGTGGTCAAGCTAAGATTGTAATTTTATTTCAGCCGTGGTATCAGTAATGGTCATAAAACTTTTACAAAGATAATCATTTTAGCTTTAAGAATTTTATGAGTAGACATGCATCATAACCATTTTTTAGTAATAACTTCTGATTATGCTTTTAATTATGGTCAGTAATTGTTGCACCTTGATATAACATTATTATTAATGCTTTAATTCCTACAATTTTAACTTTCAATTGACTATATTTATTACTATAGCTACCATTTATCTTCACAACTTATTTTTCTTTATACATTTATTTTAATGGAAGCATTTCAATAAAAACTAGAGTTAACAAGTTCTTGATCAAGGTAAAGAACTTATCAACTCTTGTAACCTAGTGACACAGTTAAACAATAGTTAACTTGTTACTGCTTGCTGTGGCCTTGAGATGGGTTGTCACAACAAAGATACATACAAAATACAAAATAATGTGATTACCAAACATTGATGCACGCTCAATTAAACAAAACAAAACAAAAAAACACAGTGACAAGTAAGTGCTAAAGGGGACAAGTAAGTATTAAAAATAACAAGTAAAAGCTTAAGGTGACAAGTAAGTGCTGAAGGTGAAGTATTTATAAAAAACAACTTTAACAAATTATTCATATTCATTTTTGTATATTTCATTCAGAAATATCATTCAGATTTATATTTGTATAGTTTGTTAAGTCATTCTTTTTCTTATAATTATTATACAAAATACTTTCTCTTTCTTTCTTCTATTTTTATCAACTTTAAATAAAGAAGAATCAGTATCCTTTTTTATTTCCCTAAATTATAATATTTTTTAAAGATTTGCTAGTTGTTGAATAACTATACATGCCATTATGTTGTGCTATACATGAAACTGTATGCATGACAATATCTTGCTTAGTAACTTTTGTGTGCATATAGTTCCTCTGCCACTGGCAGACATAGATGTAACAACAACAAAATAGTGATTAAAAATTTTGTAGAGAAACAAAACTGATAAATAATAATTTTAAAAATGTTTTAAAAAAACTTATTCAAACAGTAAGTAAAAACACCTGCAGTGTCTTTAATGAATGAAGCTTTGGTTTACCAACTTTAGCTTTCATTGTTATACTGGTTATAGGAATGACAGGATCTGTTTCAGTTTGTATGTCAATTTGGCAAGAGATTTCTTCACACCCTAATGCTGAAAAAAAAAATAATGAAAATTAAAAGTTATTTAATATTTATATGTGTATACAAAATATCATAAACAACTTATAAACAAAATAAAAACTTATAAGATAAAAAAATTCTAGTTACTATAGAGATAAATAAACAACTAACATTGTTTTGATACTTCAGGAGCAGTAAACCTCAGAGTCACTACTGCTGGTGTTAAAGCGATACCAGGTTGTTTCTGTCCAAATGCTACAATTGAATGAAAATTTTGAGGATAACTCTCTGCTTTAGTCATTCCAAATGCAAAGTATTTTGATGACGCTGTGCCCTATTTAATGGTATCTTTGTTTACAATATATTTAATGGTATCTCTGTATAAAATATATTATTGGTATCTTTATACACATTATTTCAAATAATAGCTGTGTATACAATATATTACTGGTATCTTTATACACAATATTTCCACTGATAGCTTTGTATACAATACATTCATTGGTATCTTTAATTACATCAAAGAAACTATTTAATTAGAATTAATATTCAAATTAATTTTAAATATGATAAACTAACAAATAAATAAAATAATAAATTTAAATAATGAAACACTTTAGAAAATTAAACTTATTTAAAATGAAAAATCCCTTAACATATGTTCCTATGTCAGGCATAAGTGCTTTGCTAGCAATTTTTTACACATTCAATTGACATATAACATTATTGTGTTTACCAAAACAAAGGCAACAAACAAATATAAGAGAGAGTGAAGCTAAACCCAAACTAAAAATTGCCATTAACTACAATTGTACAATTGTGGGTGTTACTGATTGACTGAATCGATACTTTCATGACTACTCAACCGAAAGAAAAATATAAAAAAGTATTTTATTATTTGCCAGATATTTCAATTTAAAATGCAACTGTATTGTATAAATAAATAGAGGTTAGAAAATTAAATATATATATATATATATATATATATATATATATATATATATATATATATATATATATATATATATATATATATATATATAGAAAAGATAAAGTAAAAAAGAAAAATTGGAAAAACCAACTAAAAAATCTTGAGATTTACTTGTTAAAAAAAATTTTAAAAAAAGATTTTCAATGTATCATTACCTTAAAATGTCTGTAGCAACTAGGTTTTAGCCCAATGATAATCATATGAGGAGTGCAATAACCTCTTCAAGGAATTTTTGAGTTTTTATAGCTTACTGCCTATGCACTATTATTACTTTTGTTACAATTTTTTTTCTTCTGTTATGAACATCTGATTAACATATTTTAACTTATTTTATCATCCTATCAATTTTCTTAGTTTTTTCCTTATTTCACTTAGGATTAACATTTCTTTGGATGCAATTTTTTGTATTTTCTTAAAATGCACCTTTTATAATAACATATTGACCAAAATTTTAAACATCTGATTTTACTTGCTTGTAGCAAAAAATTTTAAAACATTTAAATTTAATCACCAAAACATTTTCATAACAAATTTTTTTGGTATTATTAAGGTATATTATAAAATTTCCTTGATAAAAGAAAGAGTTTTTTTTTTCTTTCTCTTCTTTCTAGAAAAATAGCTTTTTATATTTACAGCTAATTAAACATTTTTATGATTAATCTATTAGCTTATTCTGGCTTTAATAAATGTAATGGCATATTTATGCCAGTATAGTGTTATTTTGAGAAAACAATATATATTTTATTTTAAATATAATATTATTATTAACATTAATTTTATTAATATTATTGTTATTTATACTATTATTTAGGTTATTACTATTATTAAACATAACATACATTTAATTTGTCCAACTTTTCAATTTATCAAAAATTTTTAACTTTTAAAATTATCAAAACCTAAAAATTAAAAGGTCTTAAAAAAACACAAATATTAAACAAAAACCTCAAAATACTAACAGAAGCTATGCATAGTTGAAGTGGTACATCAGCTCGTCCTTTATTTAAAATGCACAAACTTTGTGTGGTATTGGCACCATATCCTAAAAGTCCAAAATCAATAAATTTTTTTTCACCTAATAAAACTTCTATATCAGGAGACTCAGCAACAGCTGTTACATCCATTAGACCTCCTACTCGTGTCCAACGTAAAGGAGCATGTTCTGCTGTTAGTGGTGCAACAAGAACTTCAATTTTCATAACATAGGTTCCTGGATGAAAGGCATAAAACTTTATCTTCAGATCCTCTGAAGCGTGTGGCTCTAGCTGGATTTTCGGGGGAAACTTAAATGGTTTCTCAGAAACTTTATCAACCTGAAAAAATTATCCTTTTTTTAAATCAAACTTAAAAAAAAATATTTATCATGCATATAACAACAACATTTAAAAAAAATACCTCTTTTCCATTATGAACAAGTAACACGGAATGAATTTGACATTGCAACCAGAAATTATTTGAGTTATGCAATTGAAAGACTTTACTTTGAGCAATACCCACACAAATAACTTCAAAGTTTACTTCAGAAGGAAAAATAACACTCTCAGATAATTGCTGCTTTTTTAAATACTCAGTCGAATGATGTCTTCTTATATCAGTTGCTGATTGCAAGCTTTCTGAGTAAAATTCAGATAGGCTATTTGTTTTTACTGTAGAAATTGGATGAGCTTCAAACAATTTCTCCCGTTGATGAAGTAAATGAAGTTCATTAATTCTTAAACTTTCAGGAAGTGAAACAGGATTTTGAGAAAAAAAACTTGATTTGCTTTGAAGTCCTAAATCTGGTTGTTTTGGAAAATAAATATTATCTTGCGATGAATAATTTGTTAAAGGGTAATTTTTGTAAGAAGGATTTTGAATGTTTCCAACTTCAGGTTGGGTACTATGAAATCTCCCCTCATTGGGATAACTAATAGCACGTTTTAGATCAGCAGAGTTTTGCAATACATCAGATCCATTAGCCCATGAATGTTGCCCTGGTCCTAATGGCATCACTAATGATTTCAATTCAGGTGATGTATTTAAAACAGATGATGCATTTGAAATTGGTGATGTATTTGAAATGCTGTTGACACAACTGCTTACAGATGTTGTTTTTTGTATTTGTTTACTTTTTTCTACATCAGTTTTTAAAAGATTTTCCATAGATTCTGTTAATTTTGTTTCCTTTGACAGAATATTGAGTACTTTATAAACAAGACTTAAGTTAATCCCAGTCATAGTCGCTATGCAATTTGCAAGTTCAAGAATTTGACTATTTGATAAACCTAGCACACTTACTCTTCGTTCTTGGATGTCATTAAACAAGCTACTCGCTTCATTTTTAGTTTTTGGAACAAAAGCCTGAAAATCTTCTGGAAATCTATTGAGACTTTGATTAGAACTTGTTTTGATTGGCTCATTTGCTATCTTTTGCTTCTGTAGCGTGTTATCACAATTTTGCTTTTTCATAGTGTAATGTGATTTGGGTGTTTCACACTTTGATAAAAGACCAGAATTTTCCTGATTAGAAGTTTGGTTAGTAACCCTCTCAACAGAAAATGTTTTATCTTTATCAAAAGAATATTTTGGTTTTAATAATGGCAATGGATCTAATGATGGCGGAGTCTTTATTATGTGGCTGTCATCAGAAAATTTTGGCTAAAAAAATAAAAATTTTATAAAAAAAGTATATATATTACAGGCTTATTTATGAATACTCACAAAAGCCAACAAAATATTTTTTTCTGTTACTGAGCAAACAAAACATTTTTTATGTAGTATTTCTTATTTTGATTTCAAATATGCAATCCATTTTTCACCATCACAACAAGTTTTAAAGATATTTGGTTTCAAATATTAGTGGTAAAATCTCTGAAATTGACACAAAAAAAAAAACTATTTAAAAGTATGTCAACCTGAACTTTGAAAGATTTTTATAGAGATTTTAGAAAAAATATTTTATTTTAAAATTTATAGAGAAAAATGTATTGCGAAATACTGAATAAAATTGTGAAATAACGCTGAAGACTCTTCAAACAATAAAACTCTTAAAACATTTTAACAAAATGTTTTTTTGGCAATGATATAAAGTTTCAATATAAACAAATATTATTTTTAAAATCTCTGTAAAAATAGGTTTTTTCGAGACTTGGGTTGACAAATATCTTCACAATTTAACATGATGGTGAAAAATGGGATTTGAAATCAAATAAGAAATGCTATACAAAAAATATAGTTTGCTTGACAACAACAAAAAAAACTATTTTGTTGGCCTGTGTTATAATTAATTTATACTCTATTTAAAAATTTTATTACTATTTTATATTTACTATATTTTTCCACACTTATAATAATTATCCAAATCAAAAATTTATTTACTTTCTTTATAACAGACAAGGAATTTTTTGTCTGAAGTAAAGAAACCCCCCAACAAAATTGTTTTATTAAAAAATTTAAAATTGAAGTTTAAATAAGTTTTTAATATAAATACTTAAAACATTCAAAGTGCAACATTACCCTGGGACCATCAGTCTTTGAAAGGTTTCCTAACTCATTAGACTTCACTTTAAAATAGTTACTAACTCTGCCAACATACTCAGATGAAGAAACAAGCAATCCAGAATTTGTTGACCAATCCACTTCACTTTTCTCTGACTCCTTGCATAATAAAATAAGAAACATTGAAAAATATGAAATATTTTATTGGAATAAATAGCTTATGCTATAAGGATTGAGAT